TGATGGTGCCAAAGGCGAGAACCAAAATTCCTTTCCCAAATTTCCTATCTTTCCGTTTATAACTTCGACCCGACTGTGTTGGTCTATGCTGAATGCCTGATTCGATCTCTGTTTGTACAGGCTCTATAATCTGTCACTCATTTACATGTAATCACTGATTCTTTTTCACCCGTCGTTCGTTTACCACAATGTGGCTACAGACAATACAGTGTTGTTTTAGATAGAAGTTTAGTATCTCTTGATATTTTTAATATATTCGCATTTCCCTTCCAAGAAGAAGGCTCTGTCGTACAGAATATCTTTCATTCGAGAATTATACTTAATCAAGCGATAGCGCCATATCAAGGATAAAGACACCATGCTAGCTTGGGGGAATCCACATTCGCTTGCTTATACTGTTGACTCTGCTTTGTCGTACTACATATCTTATTGCTTTCGCATATTTATGGAGGGACACAGATGGGGTAAGTGATATATGAGATTTAAGTAGGTCTAATGAAAGGCTTGAAAATACAAACAAGCTGAGACATAGGCGTGGGCACCTGCTATAGAAACCGAGACCTCCGTCGTGCGATTGACTACCAGCAGCTGTCGTAGTAATAGCACTAAACTGTTGTCTTCCACACTCAATCATGGTTATGCCCTGGAACTAGAAACTTGCACAGGATTTAACGCCAACATTGTCAATGGGCCACGGATCAGGTAGGAAATAAGAACATACAGATTGCAAGACACTCTCTAAAGAGGGAAAAAGCGGAGTCATGGTGGACATCTCCGGTTGTTCAGTGGAGGTGGATGGAGGGGATTCGGGATAAAGCACTATTCCGCGCTCCCTCAATCGGGCGAAATTTAGAGGACTCGAAGTCGTTCCTCCATTAATAGACTCAAGTTCCCATGAATATGGCTTGAGATTCTCCCATTAACCCGGATTTTACCTTCAACTGAGCTCGACGCTTTCTTTCCCTTTTTCTTTTGTGCAACTACGGCCACCGCCCGCGATGTCTATCTCAGCTCTCGACTCCCGAATCTTTCGGAACCTCTTTGGCACAGAGGAGGTTCGTGAAATCTTTACAGACGAAGCGTATGCACAATTCCTTGTACAGACGGAAGCAGCCCTGGCTCGGGCAGAGTCCAAGGTCAATGCTATTCCAGCAGAGGTTGGCGATGCCATCACCGCAGTTCTTGGCAACATCGAACTAGAGTACGTGGACAGTGGCCCGTAATCATGGTGAAACAGTCGATCATTGACTGAATATAATAAAATAGCTTTGATAGGCTCTCACGAGAGACAGAGATCGTCGGGTATCCTGTCCTACCGTTGGTGATGCAGTTGGTGGAGAACACTCCTGAAGAGCTGGCGAAATACATTCATTGGGGTGCCACCACGCAAGATGTCATGGACAATGCCAGCATGCTCCAGATCAAAAGAGGTTTAGATTTAGTGAAACGCGATCTGAACAGACTGATTGATATTTTGCAAGTGATGGCTGAAAAATACCGTGACACGTAAGTTGAGCATTGAGTGCAATAGAGCGATATTTGCATGGTACTGATTCCACTGCCTCTAGTCCAATGGCCGGCCGTACGCACTTGCAACATGCATTACCTTGCACCTTTGGCTACAAGTGTGCCGTTTATCTCTCCAGCATCCTGAGACACAGAGATCGGCTTTGTGAAATCGAACGTCGATGCCTCCTGGTACAATTTGGTGGTGCCGCGGGGACTCTGGCCTCTCTGGGTAGTGACAAGACCGGAATTCTTGTGCGAGCACAGCTAGCCAAAGAGCTTGATCTGGAAGACCCGATGATCACATGGCATGTCGCTCGTGACAATATTGCAGAGGTTCTCAACTTTCTGGCGTTGGTAGGCGGTACCCTGGGGAAGATTGCTTTGGACATCATCGTCATGTCGTCCAATGAGCTAGACGAGGTGGCAGAGCCTTTCGTGCCTCATCGCGGCGCCTCCTCAACCATGCCGCAGAAGCGGAACCCCATCTCCAGCGAGATCATTCTCGCTACTAGCAAGCTTCTCCGAGCCAATGCATCCCTGGGGTTGGATGCTATGGTTGTCGACTTTGAACGTGCGTCTGGGCCGTGGCATTTGGAATGGGTGGCAATCCCGGAGTCCTTTACATACGCAGTTGGCGCATTGCATCAGACGACTTTTGCCTTATCAGGACTGTGCGTGAAAGAAGACTCCATGGAGAGAAATCTCCACTCCACAAGGGGGTTGATTGTCGGGGAGGCCGTAATGATGGGGCTGGCGCCGTTCGTTGGCCGACAACGAGCACATGACGTGGTCTATGAGGCCTGCAAGTCAGCCATTGAACATGATCGAGTGTTGTTAGACGTGCTTAAGGAAAATAAAGAGGTGTCAGATCATTTGAATGACACCAAGCTGACCCAATTGTGCGATCCATTGAATTATCTCGGGTCCGGTCAGCTCATGGTTGATGACGTTCTGAGAAGAGTCACTGAGGGAAAGCGATACTGAAGGCGTTGTAAGCAGAGGTAGTAGTCAAATACAATAAAACTAGTTTATGTATATCAATCTCTTCCATACGAGCATGATGACAATGTAGATGTCGCTAGTAACAAGGTGCGAAGCATGGAATCTCGACATGGTACGAGAATCGCCATGGGTTCGATGTCCCAAGAGATGCCATAGTGTATAGATTTTATGTTGGGTATCCTTAGCGCCACCTTCAAATGACCATGTACCGAGACGTATGGTCTACCAAAACTGCAATTGTCGTCGTGATGAGAAGGGTTAGGGCATTATTCCAACCCCAGCCACGATATGCCTTCGGATTAGAGCCTAATCCCGACCCCAGAACGTCTGTACCCCGGATCAGCTGATATCCCCACAACCCCAGACACGAGGCTTATCACAAAGTGCATCAGACGGTATAAAAGAGGCATGACTATCGAATCGACCCAGAAGAAGGCATCTTCCTCCCCAGACTTTCTGATTACACCCTACCCGACTCTGCCGATTTCTTGCTTGAAACATGGGATCACCTTCATTCATGGGCCTTCGTGGAAGCGCTCTTACCTTAGCACAGCTTCTTCTGGTTGTTTGTCCTGCTTTTATTCTATTCGGATACAATCAGTCCAACCTAGGTGGATTAGTTTCGGTGACGGATTTCACGAATCACTTCCCCCGGATCGACACTGTTCACACTGAAGGAGAAGAGAAGAGTGCAAATGCCACGATACAGGGCGTTGTGGTGGCGACCTTCACACTGGGGGCACTGATTGGATGTCTTTCCTGTTCATATACCAGCGACAGGTTTGGACGTCGTATCGTGATATTCGCAGGGGCCATCCTCACCGTGGTGGGGGAGGTCCTCGAAGCATCTTCATTCCAACTCGCTCAGCTCATCATCGGTCGAGTGATCTTAGGCGCTGGCGTGGGGATGCTGAGTGGTACAGTCCCTACCTGGCAGAGCGAATGCTCTAGCTCCACGAACCGCGGAAAGCACGTCGTTCTGGACGGGCTTTTCATCTCAATTGGATATGTGCTGCAGGCTTGGATCAACTTAGGATTTTACCAAATCAAAACCGGTTCCGCATCCTGGCGGCCGCCGATCGCCATCCCAATCTTCTTTTCGCTTCTCTTGAGTCTTGTTATTTTAGTAATGCCAGAGTCCCCCCGGTGGCTGTCTCAACAAGGTCGCATCCAGGAAGCACGAAACACCCTTGCTGCGCTCAAGGGACTTTCCGAAGATGACACGAGCATCATTGATGAATTATCCGCGATCGAACGCTCATTGGAACAGTCCGGCCGCACTGCGGCGTCGCTTGGTGATATGCTGAAGATGGGAGAAGACCGCCTTCTCTACCGGTTTTGCTTATGTATCGTGTTGCAGTTCTATCAACAAATGTCTGGAGGGAACCTGATATCCGTCTATTCAACTGTCATCTTCCAGGAGGGTCTTCACATGAATTCCGAGACATCTCGAATCTTATCCGGCGGAACTTTGACCTGGAAGCTTCTCTCCTGCTTTGTGGGCTTCTTTGCCATCGATCGATTTGGGCGACGGTTTGTGCTCATGGTGAGTGGCACTGGAATGGCGACTTGCATGATGGGACTCGCCATTGCGACTTCCTTTCCACATTCGAATTTTGGCGCACAAGTGGCTAGTGTTTTGTTTGTGTTCCTCTTCAATTTCTTCATTCCAATCGGCTTCTTGGGTGCCAATTTCCTGTACTGTACCGAGGTTGCGCCAACGAAGCTGAGAGTAGCCATGTCGAGTATTTCCACTGCTAACCATTGGCTGTGGTATGTATATTTCTGACGTGATGTATTGCTGATGCTGATCATGGTCTCAGGAACTTCGCTGTCACGATGATTACCCCGGTAGCAATCAACACTATCGGGTATCAGTACTACATTGTGTTTACCTGTATTGGGTTCTGCATCCCTATCTCCGTCTACTTCTTTTATCCTGAGGTGAATAAACTCCTTCCTGCTTTCACTGGAGGGTATGACTGACGCCAAAACAGACCATGGGTCGATCGCTCGAAGAAATTGACTTGATTTTCCGGAACAGCCCGTCAGTCTTTGCAACTGTCCGGTATGCGAGGGAAAATCCTCAACTGGCACTTGAGCAAGACTGGGCGCAAGAGAAGGGGGAGATCCGACACGAAGAGAACGTGTAACCGGTTAACGGGCATGTAAAAGAGGGTACGGAAGTTGGTGTGGTAAACGAAAGCACGGGGATCATTTGGTAGAATCGCGGAGAGAGATGCAAATGCAAGCCATCTGTATAGACGAGAGTGACGATCATTTCCGGCTTTGACCAGACCCGTAGTGCTGCCTCAGGCGTGAAGATATGGATGCCTGGGTTTCCCATCCAAAACTCCACACCGGAATAGCCGCTTATCCCGCTGCCCTTCTTCCATGCAATCCCCACCTTCCTCAACCCCCTCGACCAATGTCGGTGACTTGACGATCACAGCCATATTGTAACATCCTTGTGACATCTGCTGCAGAGAATGGCCGAAAGACGGCCAGCCCAGGTTTGGTAAGTGGGGTTCCTCTGCATGCACAAGCATCCCAAGTGGGTGGAATCCCTCTGCCTACATCTATACTAACCTTGCTTCGCAATAGCGATCGGTGCCGCGTGTAAGCACAAGGTAGAAGAATCCAAAGAGAGCATGCGAGATCTGACCAGACTTTCAGTAAAAGAGTCAAATGTGATGGACGCCGGCCGAAGGTCTGTTGCTTGTTCCCTCTGTTTCCGTCTACCTTGGCTCACTTGTTCATTCGTTCAAGTGTGGGAAATGTGAGAGGGCTGGTGCTGAATGCTCAGTATCTGTCCGGCTGAAACGGAGAACCACTCCACGAGGGTATACCCCCCAATTGTTATTCTTTCACATTCCTGCTAACCCCGTGATAAGGTACATTGAACCAACCGAAGAACTCATCCAGCAACTCACGCAAGAGCTGGAATCAGCTCGAGACCAGCTGCAACTTCTCTCCGCACGAGAAGAGGGACTCCATGAGACTATTACGTCACAGAAGAAAGAGATTGAACAGTTGCGGGAGCTCGTTACCGCACCTCGCCCTGGTGGCTACACGGCGCATGGAGAGAGGGACTCTAATGGCTCTGTGGTGGCACACCTTGGACGACTGGTCTTGGGCGATGGCAACTCCGAATTCTTTGCAGGTTCTACGACAGGGGTTCATTTTGTTCTCTCGGCTCAGCAGCTGTATCAAACTACTTTCTCTTCCCAAGAGCATTTTCCCGAATGTTTGTTTCGTCTGCACATCCTGCGGCCTAGCGGATCGCCCGTCGCTTTCGAACAACCCATAAGCGTTGCAAGTTGTTTGGGGGACGTTCACCTTACTTCAGGCAACAGCTTTGAGTCTCTACGTAATCATCTCCGTAATGTGGGTGTGGTTGCTGTTCGCGGGGCATTTGACAAGTACCAACAATGTTGGGGAATCCTATATCCTGTATTGCTGTCAAAACAGTTCCTTGACGCTTTCGACGACACAATCAATGATACGTGGACCACATCGATGGAACCGCATCTCAGGGTACCATTCCTCCTTCAGGTGTATGCTTTGATAGCACTTGAGAGCATCCATGGTAATACTGCCGCAACTGAATCAGGGCGCTTGTCTTATCACCTGGATACCATACTGAGCAACCTACTTGGTCAGATGCCTTGCCGAGGAGACATTCTTAGTCTCCAAGGATTAATCCTTTACCTTCTCTATCTCCAGATGACATCGCAGCACTCGTTAGCAGTACGTGTGTGTGGTATGGTCGTAAGGCTGGCGCAATCGCTTGGACTGCATCGACATACTAGACGATTCAAACACTCACCCGGTGAAAGTGAGTTGCGAAGGCGGATATGGTGGTCTGTATATGTGCTCGACGTGTAAGAAAGGCCCTTTCAGCTTTTGATGTTGGAGATACAAGATACGTATATTGATACATTCTAGACAATCAAGTATCCTATATGGTCTACCCAGAAACATACAAGCAGCAGACACAGATACCGACCTCCCTACCAATACCGACTATGATGATATGCATAGCGATCAGCTGTCCTACCCATTACCTGGAGAAACTACCCATATCGAGCCATTCCTCCAGTATGTTAATCTCACACAAATTCTATCCAGGTGTCTAGAGCAAATGTATACGACCACCAACCGAAGAGGGGGAGTTGCCAAGATCTTTCGACTTCAACGTGAGCTTGATCTCTGGAAACAAAACGCTCAATCAAGTTTACCGAACATCGCACGCACTGGGGAATTTATCCAGACGAAAATGCATAACATAAACAATAACACCACTGCCTACAACGCTGTTGAACACCCCGATATCATTTCTCTATGGTTGTTCATTTTAGGAGAGCTAGCCACCATGCTCATCCATCGTCCTGCATTGACTTTTGGGCAGCAAGAACCACAATTCGCGGATAGCCTGCGATCTTGCAGGGAAGCAACGACACGCCTCATTCTAGCGTTTGAGTTAGCCTCAGAGGCGTCGTTCGCACCCTGCATTTGGCCGTCAGGTCATCACCTCGTTTTTCAGAGCGGATTGATGCTTCTCTATGACCGGTGGGTTCAAAGCCCAGTCCAGCGGTCTGGTATTTCATCAGAACCAGATACCCTCCCCAAGCTCACTCAGGTCGTTATCACTCTTCTTTCCAGATCAGCTGCGCACCTGGACGAAAGAGTAGGTTCGGGAAGACCAAGGTCTCCCTCTACGACGGATACAATAGAATCCCTTCGACAGGCATCGTCCTATCTTCACTATCTTTGTACGCGAACACTGGAACGCCAGGGCGACTCGTGCTCCTGGCCACTGCTCAGCCAATGCTCGATGGAAAATCCGATTCCTCACACAAGTCCCATAGTCACCGACATTCATTCATTAACTGGACAGGGGCAACCAACACCGCTTCCAGACTACTCTTCCTCCCTCTGGGCACCATTATCCATCGACGAGATCAATCAAATGGAGATATTCGAGCTTACCGACCCACTGTTGATTCCTTGGGAGAATTAAAGATTGGCGAAAGGCAGCAAAGAGGCTGTTCTTTCCATAGAGTGAAGCGTGCGGAATAGTACTTTTCTTTGGGATTTGTACGATCTTCGAGGATTATCGATCGGGTGTTCTGCTCCCCGGCAAGAGCAGCATTGACTGGTGGGTCGTGAGCTAAGGTACGGATTTGACAGTTTCGGGCTACTAGCCAATGCAACCTTGGATATGTCAACGAGGAGCCTTGACGAGAAACCCACGAGGGTATCATGAATGTGGGAAGCTTAACATGACTTGACTCAACAGGACGTGCATTATAAGCCTACGCAATCAACGCGGAGGTCCAGAACATCACTCATTTTATGTTGACATCTGCCGCATGTCACAGGTGTGACAGCGAGAAAGGATGATGCCGAGCTTGCCAGGATCAGAAAGACCCACGTAGGAGCGGTTGTACATAGTACTTATGCCATCGGTGGAGCCGGAGTGGAAGCCTTCTGTATGGGCTACATATATCATATGATGCTGTGGGTTTGCGCGACCAGTCATGACGGTCCAATACGCCAACCGAATGAATTATATCCCCAGACAAGGGCCCGTTACTTTATAGAAGTATCATCGAATGCCACCTGCCTGACCCGTGCTAGCTCCGTGTGGCGCTAGACCAGGGATCGACCGGGTTAAAATCCTTGATGTTAGTAGTGCCACGTAATCGGAGCGGCACTAACAGCACCGATTGATTTAGCGCAATCAGACCCTGGCTGTGTTCTGCGACTCAAGTAATGTGTACATTGTCCAGTTCTGGTTGGGTTATTTGTAACTATACAAAGGGCCGGTGAGCTCATATCCTAGATGGTCACCTCATCGGCTTCATTTCATACGTCTCTTCCACGATCCATTCTCGGGTCTGGTGAATGATCAGCTGCCGTGAATGCTGGCTTTCATGGGATTGTCGGACGACCGTCCAATCGAGCTCTTCCTCCTCTGCCCCAGAGCTATGTGGTCCACGGTTTCGCGACGCATTCCCTGAAGCGCTCATAGCCGATTGCTTGTAGTATGTGGTCCCTTTGCTGTCCGCGACGCCTTGCCCCCAGCCGGTATTGAATGCAATAATGAACGGTTTGAGACAGGGGATCGTGGCCACCATGATGCTACAATGCAGCAACATGATTGTCACGACCAAAGAGTTCGAAACATGCAATGGGGTGTCGGGACGGGATAGCGAGGTGTTTAGGTATCGTTGCCGGATAATGATCAGAACGATTATTCTGCCAGGAAATACCATGCGGGTTAATTGCGGACGTGATTAGAAGGGAGAAGCAACATACGAGATCCGAGTCGCAAATGCAAAAATGACCGTCGCCTTCTCTTTCAGGCGCATTTGGATTCCCCAAACCAACACCACGCTGAGGATAATCAAGGAGATCTCAATTATGACATCGAACGTAGTGACTGCTTTCCAAGCTATGCCCTGTCCCCATGAGTTGGTCCTAGGTTCATCTGTCAAGATGCCGAGAGTCCACATACCAAGCCATGACAATGTCCCTCACTGGACCACTGGTACTGAGCCGTGCAATTGATCGCAATGGCTAAGATTGAGGCGATCACCCACAGCACCGTCGCCAGTAAAGTGACTTTGCATGCCAGGAGATACCCCTTCTCTCGGCCTAGCCGGTGCAGGAGGAATCCAACGGAGGCTTTCGCAGCACCGTGGCCGACAAGGAAGAGAATATTGGCAGCGTAAAGAGACTAAAGGAGCGATCATGTTATCAACAAGTTCTGACTTGACCGATGGATTGCGGATCGCGTTTACTTGTGCGGCACTCTTCAGGTCGGATGCAGACGTGTCATTTTGGGATCTGCCCAGCCCGTGGGACACTCCATGCATGATCGTTCCCATGTGGGCTATTCCGAAAATCTGTCATGTAGACACGTCGTCCGTCTCAGCCTACAGTTGCTGTAGAAGCAGGGACTGACTTACACCACCTGCGAAGACCACCAAGTCATCTACTCGAACAGGTCCGTTCATTTCTAGTCGCATATAGAGACGGATTAAACAGACAATCACCATCCACGACATGAAAAGAGCCGCAACAATGACGAGCAGACCACTTCTATCGGTGGCCGATATCACGTACGGGACGTATTCCCCCATGGCGACGGACTCTTTGACGTGGTGGTGAAGCCTACACGCTCAGAAACGGGGGAGGTGGACATTTTCACTGTTGTTAGAGGAAGACCGGGCTCAGAGTAAAATTCTGACAACGTTGGAAGCGGTCGAGAACCCAGGGATTTGAGTCCTTTGAAAAAATACTAAATAAAAGAATAATTTGAAATGAACTAAAGTAAAGATCATCGGGGAAAACGAGTCGCTCGTGTATCCACCGTTGTGCAGGGATAAAAAGTGCGGCGACCACCCAATGGACAAACCGGCAGTCTCTGAATTCGTTGATTCTCGAGGAAATGCTACTTCATGTTAATCCTTGACATTCAGAGTGACCCAAACTAGCACACCAAGCTAACCGGGGCGTGTGTCCATGACTCCATGACATGGATTGTGGGAAAGGTTAGCATCCAGGGTGCAATTTATATCCCGGAGCGTCGCATTCGGTTGGCGTAGGATTCATTGCTTTAGCGCCCCAAACCCCTGTCGAGACTGAATACCCATGTTGACACGGATTGATTTACCCTGCAACTGTTCCCCTCCAACTTGCAGTTGAATTTTTTTTCTTTCTCTCTCGCAGACGTTTTCCTCCTCTCCCTCACTGCCAGTACTCTCAGCCTCGAGTCCACCTCTCATTGTGTGACAACAAGCGTGGAGTGAACCCATCATGTGGAAGGATGAAGCAGTCAAGTCAGAGGCGTACATGTCGGGCCACGAAGATGGCGTGTCCGCAAAGGGTGGAACCATGCAAGATCGCAAAGATATGTGGCGAGTGGGCAGAGATCAGGAGTTGAATGTCAGTCAAGGGGAGACAAAAGACATCGCAGGATCGTTTCTGAACTGACTTGCCGTAGCGAAACTTCCGCTTTCTATCAGTGCTTGGCTTTACGGCGGTGTTAATGTGCACCTGGGAGGCTGTTCTGTTGTGTGTGCTGCACCGACGCATTATCATCATGTCGCATTGAAGTGGCTAACAGATGGGTAGTGGTTCGTCGTATGGCCTTACAAATGGCGGCAAAGGAGGCATGATCTACACATATTTGGGAGGCCTGGCTGGATTTAGCTTCGTGATTCTGTCCATGGCAGAAATGGCGTCCATGTCCGTACACCCGCATTCCTTGGTCCTATTCCATGGCTGACTGCAACCAGGGCACCAACCTCTGGCGGGCAGTATCATTGGGTGTCGGAATTTGCTCCCCCGAGTTGCCAGTGCATCCTGAGCTATATTACCGGCTGGATCTGTGTCCTGGGATGGCACACTGGGATTGCAGGATGCTCCTATACTGTGGCGAACATGATGGTGGGCGTCATCGCGATCAACTACCCGGACTCATACACCTATCAGCCCTGGCATGTCACGCTTCTGGTGATTGCAGTGGCGTTGGTTGCATTGCTGTTTAACACGCTTCTCGCGCAGAAACTGCCGTTGATTGAAGGGATCATTCTGGTTATCCATTGCTTTGGTTTCTTTGGGATTCTCATCCCCCTGTGGGTCTTATCGCCCAGGCCAGCAGCTTCAGAGGTATTCGGCTCAATCGAAGACCGCGGAGGATGGGGGTCCAATGGACTATCCTGCTTAGTTGGACTGGTTGGGCCCATTTATGCCCTGATCGGTACGTCCTTGTCGTAACTGTTTCCCCTCCAAGACCCATGCTAACTCTACATGTTCTTTGAAGGCCCCGACTCGGCGGTCCATATGTGTATGTCTTGCTCTGAACCTGCTTCCGACATCGATATCCTGGCGTGAAGTTATACTGACCCAAAGCAGCAGAGGAAATTCGTGACGCTTCCCGAGTCCTTCCCTTGGGCATGATCTGGACCTTGATTCTCAATGGCTCCACGGGCCTGGTTATGATCATCACATTTGCCTTCTGCATTGGCGATATCGATGAAGTCATGGCGTCCCAAACTGGCTTTGCATTTATCCAAGTCTTTCTGAACTCCACTGGGTCCGTCAAGGCTGCCACCGGCATGACCGTTGTGATTATGGCCATGCAATTTTGCGCGGCTATCAGTAATGTAGCCACCACGTCCCGACAGGTCTACGCCTTTGCACGAGACAAAGGGCTTCCGTTCTCCGATTTCTTTGCTCAGGTAGGACTAAATCCATAGCATGTTGTCATACAATACTAACGGACCGTCAGGTAAATCCCACATTTACGGTCCCATTGAATGCGTTATGCGTGAGTCTAGTCATCGTCTCTGGACTCGCCTGCATCAACATCGGCTCTTCTGTGGCCTTCAACGCTATTATGTCGCTTGGTGTCGCCGCGCTGCTCTCCTCATATATCATCTCCATCTCGTGCGTTCGGATCCGTCGCTGGCGCAAGCAGCCCCTTCCCCCTGCTCGATGGAATATGGGGCGGCTCAGCCCGTACATCGACACTGTTTCTCTATTAGTCCTGTCGGTCGTCTGGACCTTCAGCTTCTTCCCCTTGACCCGAGAGGTAGATGCCACTACCATGAACTGGGGTGTTGTCATCTTCGTTGGCGTCATCATCTTCTCTCTGGTGTACTACGTTGTCTATGCCCGGAAGGTTTACAAGGGACCGGTGGTCCGGGTAAATATGATGGGATAGATGTATATATATATAGTTAGGCAAAAGCGTGTTATATATTGCAAACAATGTCACCTTTACGTCCAACACAGATAATAATACTTAAAGCTACCACACTGGAAGACATGAAGTAGCAAATTACATCCTGATTCCGAATTCATCGTTCGAGATTGATGATAGAGGATAGGATATGCCGTGCAGCGTTAAACTAAAACGGGAAATTATGTAGAGCCTACATAGTCGTGCCACCAGATCTCGCTACAAAAGTTGATTCTATTGATCGCTGATGCTAGTGAACCGCATATGTTACAGTTTCGCTCATTTTCCGATGCTGGAAGCCCGGAATACCGAATTGGGAGTTCCGACGATAAGCGGTTTGCGTCCCAAAAGGGAAATGTGCCGCCATTCTCCACGTCGAGGTGAACAACAAAAGTAAAGAAGGATGATCGACCCTGTTTTTTTCGCCCCAATATTGTGCGCAGTGCCTAGATAACAAGTTTATAGACTTTTGGCCCAGAAGCAATCAGAGAACGGGTAGCTCTTGAAGCTGGCCATTCTCGGCATTGTTCAAGAAGCTCAAGAAGCAATTCCACCCTGATGGGGTTAGTATGCACTCATCCTAAGAAATGGACATAACATACCAATATTGAATATATTGACCGTCAGGACTCGGTACTGCAGCGGTACAAGATACAGATTCACGGTCTGCAGGGCGGGCCAGATCGTCCAGTTGGTCCGGAGGGCTTCCCAATACGTCTTCTTCAGCTTTTCCTTCGGGTCACCTCCTTCCATGAGGGACATGCTGGAGAGGAAAACGCCAATCATGGTCGGCGCGCAGACTAACTGGTCCGTGGCGACACGAGCCACGAGGGTTTTCCCCGGGCTGCCGAGATGGATTCGGTTTTGCAGAAATTGAAACCACTTGGTGGCAACCGGACCGAACACCGCTGTAACAAACTCAGTTATACAACTTAAACACAGGCACAAGCCAGGCTCACCTCCACCATAGAGTGCCATGCGGGCAGTACGGGTTACATCATGTTGAGCAAGGCCTTTCTTCTCCACCCCTTGCTGCGCTAGACCATCTCCCACGGCGAAGAGACACTTCGGACGCTCAGTTAGCCAGCGTAAACTAGGTTGGGAGACTGTAGTAGCATTACATACCGCTGTGGTTAAGCTTTGGGTCAAGACAGGGCGCTGAATTAAGCTTCGTTGATACCTGCGTGCATCGCATCAGGATTAGGTAGCGTATCGAGGGGGGGAGATGACTTACCAACCGAACATTGTGCAGCACGAGTTTGAGGGTGATTTGTCCCAAATGGAAATGTATCTGAGAGGGAAAAAACAATGAACTCCTTGAGAAATCCACCGTCCATGAATTGTTGACAAAAACCTGCATTCCAATGGCTGTGACGCAATGTCGGAATGTGCCCGATTCGGAAATCCTTCCGCCACTGTCTCCGTTGATCAACATCCAGAAGGTCAAGTTAATGCGGATCTGTACGTCAGTTAGATCAACATATCTTGCCTTCCTCTAAACAGCCCCGGTCCTCCACAGGTGGCGAAACAGCCGGTAGTGCATTTGTCGTATTGTTTTCTGGCATGACGGGCATCCTCATTCCAAGTATACAGCTGGCATTCGTCTCCTGCTAGGTGTCGAAGCCCATCGAGAATCATGACGGGCTTGGGATGGGACTAAACCTTTCTGGGAGCCTCCGATCGTAGATAAGATCACATGGACTCACCTGATTTAACAGCTGACCTCTTCTTCCCCTAAGAAGCTGATCGCATCATGAAGGGAAACCCATACATTCTGCCAAGATGCAGCAGCGGCGACGGCGGCAGCTTCCTGTCTCCTGCCAGCTTTGTCGCACCATGAAGCTAAAGTGCAACCGGGGGCAGCCATGCTCAAATTGCTCGACGCGTGGAGTTCCGTGCGAGAGAGTACATGCCGCGCCTCCGTCAATCCAACCATCTGTCTCCGATCACAGCCATAGTGAGATCTTGGCCCGCTTGCAGAGACTAGAACACATCGTTCTCCGATCTCATGGAGCCGATGAAAGGCGGAGCAGCCCTGCGGCAAGTGTCGCAGCCGTGGCTCCTCCATTATATATCGCCGAGGGTGAGGGTGACACCAGGTGGCTGGAAGGCGTTGGCAGTCGTGAGGCCTCGATCGTGAGTGGTTGATAGTTCACTGTAGCATTTCTCTAGTGACTGGTGTATGGTCAGATTTCAGGGTTGTCCAACAAAATCTCCTTTAGCACGATGTCTCTTCAGCGGGCGTTGCCCATCATCACGTCCGGACACTCGCCTGGGTCGGGAAGCACAACGATGAGTGTCTGGCTGCTCCCCAAAAGTGAAGCCACTTGGCTGCTTGAGCGCTACACAGAATACATAGCATTTGTACATCATGTTGTGCACGTACCATCCGCTCGCCTTATCCTGGAGGATGCGTACAAACAACTGTCGCTCGGATTGAACGTTGTGCCGGGCCACGTCGCCCTCCTATTGAGCATCTTTGCCAGCACCGCATACATGCTGGAGCCAAAGACTGCCGACTCATTCTTTCTCAATCAAGCAAACGCTATAAGTTGTGCTACTATCTGGACGAAAGCGGCTCTCGATTTGCTGGAATACTCCCGTCGCAATACTCAAGGCTCGATAGAAGATGTCCAGGCAACAATTATTCTGTCCTTCATTATCTTTAATATGGAAGGGTTTTCACCGAGGTTCCGTGCAACGAGCAGTAGCGCACTGATACTGGCAAAAGACTTGTCGCTTCATCGTATCGATGCAGACCTTTCTAAAAGGAAAGAAAGCCCTGTGCAGATGGAGATTACTAGACGGATATGGTGGCATATGGTTGCGACGGACTGGTGAGCTCCTGACTTTTTGACGCTTCCCATGGACATATAGAATCCACGGAGCAATGCACTATCTCCATTGTCCATAGTCATGATCCCTGACTCCGTGAAGAGAGAAAGACCAACTCTGACATTGTGAATCAGGCTTCTGTCATTATCAGGTGGACCCCAGGCCGGAACATACTCAATACATCCTAAGCACATGTGCGTGAACTATCCGCGTAACGTTGATGATGTGGATCTAGAGCATCCCGACCCGGGGTACAGCCTCCCATTATCGCAGCCAACGGCAATGACCTACTATATACTGCGAATCAAGCTGGCAGAGATTTCTCGTACCATAACAGATACACTGCCACTCTCGCCCTCAGACTGGCCGACGGTGAACTACGACACCGTCATGTCACTGGACCGGAAATTCGATGACTTCGTCCGGGATCTTCCCATATTCTTTCGCCATGATCAAGCAAGTCGCCAACAGAGCCGCGATGTTGATCGTCGCTATCCTCAAACCGTTTTCCAGCGATACATCATAGCCAGCAGCTTGTATTCCTGTCGAGCCAAACTGAATCAGCCGTTCCTTACTCGTACATCGATAGATGGGCGATACGCCTACTCCAGAAATGTCTGTCTGCAATGCGCTCGAAGTGTTATCAACATGAACAAATCAATCCGACAGGATACCGGCCTGCTGTCATCTGTACACGTGCGACTGGCTACCTTTCTCTGGACCTTCTTCTTGGCCACCACTGTCCTCGTTATGGATTTATGTATCAATACCGATGACGACAACGAAGGTCGGCGACAGGAGGTTATGGAGGCATGTGGTGTGTTGAAAGAGGCCGAGGAGACATCTCCAGTCGCTGGTCGGTTTTTGAAGTCACTCATCGATATCCTCCACAAGTACCATATCCAGGTCTCGCCAGCAGTTGTTCCGCGACCTGTGCCACCGGGAAGCTACTCACATCCGAGCCCGGCTAGCATGTATCCAACGGCACCAAGTACGATAGATGGGCATGCCATGTGGCCCACTAACCTTGAAGGCATGAGCGATTTGGATGGGATGTGGCAAAGCTTCACCGACCTTGGAGACTCTGACGTTGTCACCAACTGGGACGATCTATTTTCTGCCCTCGATGCTAGGACTCTGTAGCGTCGAGCTAGTATATTGAATAAGGGTGTGTCTCTATCTTTCCCAGTTCTACTAGTCGCACAAATTCCTCGATGGGTCCGTTTCGTTTGTATGTATAGTAGCCATGATTCTCCCTTCCATGGCAGTCAATAAGCATAGGGCCCGAAAATCATGGCAGAAGCTCGTATGCACCCCATAGATGCGCCATGGAATCCAGTGCTAAGGAATCTAGCCGGGTTATCTTCGTATGGTGTCTGATTCGCCATCGACTGCCAAGATTTACTGTGACTCATCTCGTACTTCATTAAGGCTACAGCAGAACTATAAGAAGAGTGTCGTCCTCACACATCCCATGGCCCAGCACATCCTCATATTTTCTTTTGTACATCTTTGTCCGTGCGAGACAATAATTGTCCCGAGCAATTGAGTGCCCCGTGTATATATAGCAAGACCGGCGGACTCCGAAAGCACGGAAACACTCGCCCCAACTGCACTGAACTCACGGGCAATCACCATCTCGTCAGCGATCCTGAAGCCATGGCGCTACCCATCGAACCTCAGACCTGGACCAAAGATGCGTTCCTTGTCTCCACGGATAAAACCCTCCTCTCAGTGTCAGCCATCAACGCCGCGTTCGACCAGGATTTCGTGTACTGGACGAAACGCCACCCCGAGAAGATCCTCACACAGGTCATTGAGGGTTCCTTTTGCTTCGGAGTGTACACACCCAAGCCCAATCATACGGGCCAGAATGGTGAAGGCAACGGCGTCCCCAGTGATGGTCCAACCAACGCCAAGCCAAATGTAGATCAGATCGGCTTCGCGCGGCTTATCACGGACAATATCACCTTCGCGTATCTGACGGACTTGTATATCCTCCCGGAGTATCAGGGTCACGGTCTTGGGGGCTGGCTAGTCGATTGCGTGGATGAGGTATTGCGACCGCTGCCGCATTTGAGGTGGGTTATGTTGCGGACGTCGGCGGAGAAGAGCAAGCAGTCGTACGAGAAGCGTCTGGGCATGAGTGTGTTGGATACGAGCTGCACCAGCGAGGGAGCAGTCATGATGGGGAGGAAGGGGCAGGCGAATATGGCTTGATTCTTACTGAGAATTGACGATTGAGGGTGGATCTCATTAGCCTGAGAGCGTTCCGGATGTCAATATGTGCACCACTAATGTATATGTCAAGGTTTATGCAGCTGCTGGACGTAATGCACGAAATCTACGTTAACATTCCTGCACAATGTGCACCAGGCCGTTCGTAGCCAGCCGAAGGGAGCACATTATTTATCCTGCGTTTGAGTCCGGACTCTGTACTGATCCACTCGGACAACCCCAGTCGAGACCACCCATGGCCTCACGACGTGCTTTCTCCCTCCGCGAGCCATTGCCAGCTCCCCATCCGAATGTCCACTAAGCGGCTTGAACCGACAAGACTACCGTTTATCTGATGAGCCGGTCCCACTGGGATCATTTCGTGAGAAATGGTCCAAGCCGAGTGGCCTGCAATCCTCGCATGAGTCGGGAGTTCGCCGCCAGACATTAATTATCAATCAATTCCCTCGGTGTGCCAAGCGCCCAGCCGGTGCTGCTTCTTATCAGATTGGGCCATCGGGTCTCTTGAGTCTTGAAGCCTCCACCCGGTCCACTCGTCTGTCTCGGAGATAATATCCAGAACCCTCATCCCAGCTCGGCCGAGGTAGTCGTGTAGGGCATAGACTCGGAGATGGAGCAACATAATCTTATCCGATCCTCACCACCAGGAGAAGAAATTTATAAACGACCGTGCAGATCCTTGTCGGTTCGAGTAAACTAGCCTGTGGTTGAGACCGCTAAACTGCGCCTGCTGGTGAACATGGACGCCCATCCTAATATCGATTAATTGCCTGCAGTCTTGGCGACGTCTATACAGAGGCAGTCCGCTGCGCAGATCGACGAAGGGGTTGCCTATCATGGCATACATCCAAAGCAAGCCTCAGCCGATGTGCCACCGTTTCACAGCGCTTGATGATGCACTGTGCAGTTATCCAATAGCTGGTTGGTCACGGAATCCACAAGCGCTGGCTTCCCGCTTGGCAGAAGGCCGTCAATTCGCATAAATACCATACCTCTCATCGTCCTCGCTACAAGCATGGTTCCCTCGTCAGGATCAGCAGGGGAACATTCGAGCACACAGATATGCGCTGGCTTACCTCGACAGCATGGGCCCTTGCCGTGGGCTCAAGCTTGGCGACGGCCCACAAGGCGATGCACTTTGCAATGGAGCAAAACCTCGACATGATGCCCCGTACCCATTCGGCTCGGGGACTGCCGGCTCCAGGCAAAAAGGGAGTGATGCTGATGAACCGGATTGGCCCGTCGTCGTCGGAGCTGTACGTGGCCAATATCGACGGTAGCAACGAGCGGAAACTGCTGGGAGACAACTCCGGATTCGACTACCATGCCTCTTTCTCCCCCGACGGGCAATGGATTACCTTTACCTCAGAGCGCAATGGCGACGGGAATTCGGACCTCTATCGTTGTCGCGCGGACGGCTCCGGGCTGGAGAAGCTGGTGGCAACCCCCTCCGTCGAGGATGCAGGAGTGCTGTCTCCCGATGCCAGCCAGGTGGCATGGGTCTCCACAGCGAACGGATACACGACAAATGTCTGGGTGATGGATCTGAAGACAGGCGAACAACGGAATCTCACCAACCTGGAAGGGGTCAAGGGTGACCCGACGAAACCCAATGGCTTCTTCCGTCCCAGCTGGTCGCCCGATGGCGAATGGCTGGCGTTCTCCTCGGATCGCAACACGGAATGGCGTGGACACGGTAATGGCACCGGCTGGGAGCACACCCAGGAGCTGTCGGTGTATGTCATCCGGCCAGACGGAACGGACTTTCGGAAGATCGCATCCCAGGAGGGCTGGAGTCTTGGGTCTCCCCGGTGGTCGCCAGATGGCTCGCGGATCATCTTCTACGAGATTACGACGGAAAACACATGGGACGCACACCGGCCCGAATCGGTCGCCAGTGCCACTTCGCAGATTGTCTCCGTCGACTTTGCGACGGGACTGGATCGCATCCAGCATACGAGTGGAACGGGGGTGAAGGTCTCTCCGCAATATGTCACCGCAGACAATATTGGTTACCTGGTGAAGGGCGGATCGACCGAAGGCATCCACTACACGGCGGAGAGCTCCACGCGCGCTGTGATCAATGGGACGATGCGCTCGCCGTCCTGGTCGCCGGACGGCAAGTCCGTGGTCTATGAGAAGTCGGAGTTCGAGGCGCGTGCCATGGAGAAAAAACTCTACAGCTGGGACCCCGAGTGGGAATACCGCTTTACCGACGTGTTCCCGGATCTGTCACAACAAGGTCGACTGGCGATCACACAGAAGCAACTCGGTAACTCCAGCATCGTCACCATGCGACCCGACGGAATGGACCAAAAGCTCGTCTTCGACCCATTGGCGCAAAGCAACATCAGCTCCAGTGAGGTCGGCCAGGGCCTCGCCGGCGCATTCCAGCCCACCTGGTCCCCCGATGGGGAATGGATTGCCTTTGGTATTGGCGCTTGGTTCCAGTCCCGCGCGACGGGCAAGGGATATATTGCGAGGGCCAAAGCAGACGGATCATATTATGAGATCCTCACCAACGGCACGATCAACGCGGGATTCCCGAGCTACTCGTTGGATGGGCGGTACTTGGTCTACCGTGTATGGGGTGCGGAGTTTGGGCTTCGCATCATGGATGTGACCGACAAGAGTGTTCGCGTTTTGACGACCACCCGGGACAACCTGCCATTCTACTCGCCTGATGGGCAGCGAATCGTCTTCACACGCCGCACGAGCTACACCAACTTTGACGTGTGCACGATACGCCCGGATGGGTCGGACCTGAAGGTGCTCACATCGAGCGGAGCCAACGATGCCCATGCGACATGGACAGCGGACGGCCGCATTCTGTATGCAAGTGGCATGTATGGCTTCCGGGATGAAGCCGCCATTTATGACAACACCTTCCAGCCGTACGGACAGATTTTCGTTATGAATGCGGACGGCTCGAATAAGACTATCCTCACCGACAGTATCTGGGAGGATTCGATGGCGCTGTACCTACCCAACGAGGTGCTTGAATAAAGCCGTTGTACTATCGCTGCCACAGGATAAGAGGTCCGTCAGACGGACTATACAACAGGTACTACCACCGCTAGCGACAGGGAAGGGACTGAAAGAATGAACCACTTTCGTCAGGCCGAAGCCATTCCATAGTCTTTGTTACTAGAAGCCAAATCGAACGTCACAGCCAACCAGCATGTGTGCCCAGAGTACAGTAAGGTAAAAGATAGTGAAAAAGTCTGTCATCCTATTGTAAGGGTGTACCAGTTGTCCAAACAACCGCGTTCACAGAACCCGATAAAGGACTAAGTACTACCGGATTATACACAGGCAGCATGAACAGCGAGTGCTGCAGGACAGATACGCTAAGGGAGTAGACTGGTAGTTCATTATAGAGTTGAGAGCTATGTACACACAGGTATGCTTTATACACAATTCATATGAGTCATACTGCGTTGCCTTGCCTGGTTCACAATGCGAAGCACCGCTCGACAGAGTCTGCGTTATTGCCCCACCAATTGGGCATCTTGATTTGCTTCCCAGAGCCAAAAAACAGGAAGATCAACAACATGTTCAGATTGAAGCCGGCATCGAAGGCAGCGGCAACCATGTAGCTGTACCGTTTCCAAGTCTCGAACCGACGTCGATAAGCCCAGTACATAACCACATATCCTCCGATGATGGCCGATGTATATCCGGTGCTGATATTACCGTAGAAGACCGATAAGCCGGAGAAAAAGATCGTCACATTCCACAAGTCAACTCGCAATCGTGGGAAGCAGCGGTGGAGGATGTACAGCATGGGGGGGATCACGGCTCCCACGAGGAAAGAGTACGGGAGAACCCTCAGTTCGGGGTTCTCAAACATTTTCTGAGGCCCAATGACAGCGTATTGCACTCCGAGCGTATTCGAACCGATGATGGATTGACCGGTCCACTGGTTCAGCGGATCCTTCTCGACACCCTTGAGGATGTTGCCCTTCGTGTTCAAGACCCAGCGGATCACCCCGTAGTTCACTGGAATACCGAGGACAGTCCCAAAGATTTGAGAGAAAAACACCGTTCGCGGTGGAATATGCATATAATGTCCGATCTTCTGATCTTGAAGCATGTACTGGGCTCGATACCAAGCGTCGCCCGCGATCGCTCCGTAAGTAGAAGGTCCACAGGGGTGGCGATGGGACGCGCCGGCCTTCGTGTGGACCATATACCCGTACAGCATCTCGTTGAAGGTTCCCACCGCGAGCTGATAGTTGGAGATTGCGTACAGCCAACCAAAGGGGAGGACGAAAACCCCGGCCGTGGCCAGACCGACGAACAGCGTCCAGACGGGGATCCACAGGTATCCACAGGCGGTGGCCACAAGAAGGATGATAAACCCAGCCAGGAAGAGGGCCACGTACCACCACAGGGGCACCTCCTGGTACTGCCTCTGGAGCACGTTGAGGCGATCATGATATTGATAGTTGATGTTTTGGCCCTTGGCCCTCTCCGACTTCCGACGGGACGCAATGGCCTTCTTCAGATTCGATTTGAGCTGGTAGAACCCGAATGTCGCAATCCAGGTCACCGCCGCGGTCACCTTGGCATAGTCGAAGAAGGTGGCCCAGGCATTGTGGAGCCCCATGTACATGAGACCGTGTTCTTCGTAAGCGGTTTGATTCAGACGAAAGTCGGGGGTCAACACGTCGAGGACCGGATACTTGGTGCCGTTGGCCATGAAGAGCGAGTTCGACATCAGGCCGTGCTTGTACGAGCCCAAATTTCCCCATTTGGCGGCTGGAAGGAGAACCCAACAGCTGACGACATACGCCAGGAACAAGATGACCTGGGTCCACCAGGGGGTCAGGAGAATCGACGAGCCATTCCAGTTGATGTTCGACCAATCGAAGGTCAAGTTGAGAAAGCCCATCCCCCCGAGACCTGAGCCGATGAAGTTGGCTACGGGGTTGTGGGGAGCGACCCAGCACAGGAACGCTAGGGAGGACGTGAACGGAAAGACGTATTCGGGCAGGAATTGCCATAAGGTCATTCCCACCAGGGAAAAGAAGAAGATTTTGAGCTGACGCCGCGCAAGAGGCGACGAAACATCTTGCTTCCGAAAGGTCTCGAAGAGGGTGGTCTGCATGAGGGCCTGTGGCCAGACGTACGTGGGATCGTAGAGGAGGAGCTGGCGGGCGATGGCTGCAAATGCGTACCCAACCCAAACGATGGCGAACATGAAAAAGATTGCAACAGCCGGATTGAGCCTTTCCCCGTAGAAGAGCTCCGCCAGTGCAATGGGGGTATAGCCCAGGTTATACGTGGCACCCGATGCCGCGGTCAACGTCACCAGCACATGTTCTTTGGCACTCCACGGCGCTGGGTTGAGGTTGAAGGACCATTTCGTGAAGGGCACACGGACCTCCCAGGCGGGAAACACCCGTGCAAAGAAATTTCCGACGTAATGGGTTGCAATCTGGACGAAGAAGATCGAATACGGTGCCTGCGTGGTACGAAAGTGGCTCATCTGAGACAGAAAGGCCCCGGGCACGATGAAGATGATCGACAGGAGGAAATATCGGAAGGTAATCGTGGGTAACGTCGGATCATCGGTGAGACTGACCAGCTGCCGGACCTCACGGGGCAGCGCTGCGATCTCTGGGTGCTCTTCAGTCTCCTGCTCTATCGCATCGGTCTCGCTGAGTTTCTTCACGTGTTCCTCATCGCTGGACGACCGCTCGTCCACCGACGCCAACTTCTTGTCCGCATTGGAGATCCGATCGCGGTCGTCGTCCGTGACGGGTGAGGGAGCATCCAAGGGATCCTCCGTTGCCCTCGAGAACTTTCGAGTGACCGCGGATAGCACCATTGATGCTGAATGGCGTCGATCCTTGCCACTGGGTTCGATGGACCTTCAGCACACGTTGGAGGGCTTTCTGGCCACGGTTTTCGCGGAGAGGACGCGCTGAACCACACACCCATCGTGCCCACCAGCGAGCCACTTCAGTTATAGATAAAACCGAACCCTTCGCCCTCATCGACGGGGCGAAATGACGTGATCAAGTTTTCATTAAGCCACCGAAACCCCAACCGGATGCGGAAGCGGTGCTCAATGCAACGTTGATTCACACCAGTTCCCACTTTTACATGGAAACAGCACGAGAACAATGCTTGGCTATAGCCAAGTTGTGTGCAAGCAAATCCAGCGGGCCCATCTGGTAGGCTCCATCCTCAGACACCGGATCTGCTTGGCAAATGGCGTTATCGGAGGAAGCGCATTCGTGATTGTCGATACTTCTTTTTTGTATACTCGGAATCCTGGCCGGTGATTGGCCGGGCGCCGACCAACACGGCCCGTGACCGACGCGCCTAATTTAGTCTCGTGCCCGCTTGTCCCAATCCGGCCATCGCTCAACCCTAATTCTTTTTTTTTTCTTTTTCTTTTTTTTTTCTCTCTCGCGGAAGGGTTACGACAGGAACAAGAAAGATGGATCGAAACAGAACCATAAGCGTGAAAATCCCCTTAACTGACCTTCGGGAGGCCGTCTCCCCGTAGAATCTGATCTCACGTCCCTGTCGATCCGCTCTGTTCCGACAACAGGATCTGGACAAGATCATCATGTCATGGAAACACTTGCAGATTGCGTGCTCGCGTTGCCCCGTCGTAGACCATCGGAGAACGGAGGAGTGTTGGTCATGTTTTCACGCTTGGCTGGCGGTTTCTTGATTGTCTCGGATCCTACCGTCCATCCCACAAATAATAAGCTAGCTAAGCTCCGACACTAGGCCGTTCGAAAAAAAAAAAAGTGGCGACATCCTCTCCCAATCGAACGGTTCCTGAGCTGGGAAAAAAAAGGGAAAACAGTTCCCTAGTGACTTCAAGTGAGATTAATATATCCCTCAACCCAGTCTAAGCAGTAGTCATCTGAACCACCCGAGAACGCCACCGATTTGTCAGTTCATATATCGTTTCGCAGAAAAATATCATCCGTGTCAAAGGCGCGTTGAGTGACATATGGGGGCAGAAAAGAAAAATTTATCCATGACTGCTTGGAAACAGTGAGTCGTATAAGCGTGGTGATTAGGGCACATCACCCGTATAGGCAGCGGTATACCCAACGCACTATTCAATCCCTTCGCGAGGTGGTGCCGATGCCATGTAGGTGATCACGAAGATAAACCAATGTACGGACAGAGCCTTACAGGTATAGCCGCACTTGCCAAGGCCCTGCACGGCTTACTGGCCAAAACAGGTTCGCGAGATGTCCTCCGTGGCCGATCCAGCATTGGCGAGTAGGGCTTGTCACCTTCATGAATTCCCTGGTACATGTATGTACAAGCAGACGTCATTCCCCCTTGCCGAGCCGTGAATGTGATGGCACTGCAGCATGTTTCATGGTTTTCCAATCCTGTATTGCTAGGCGGATCATCTTATCCACTAAGAGAGTCGAATACATTCTGGCGCCAATCCATGCGTGACCTCACTTCGCGCAGCCGCATCGTAAGAAATAGCTGTCTATGGCCATCGCCTCCAACCAGGACAAGAACAAACGGACCCCAGGACATTGTGTATACCACTTGCTCACCCCTCGCCTCATCCCATAGCAATGTATTGTTGTATGGAGAGCAGCACGATGAGTGAAACCCCCGGGCAGGGTAACCCACGCTAGTTGGCAATGGGCCCGCTCTAAAGAATATTAGCTTGGAGCCCCTTCTCATTTTGCTCATTGATGGAATTATGCGAGTTATTGATCATATTAAAGTCAAGGCACTGACTAACACCACATACACTACCACTTCAATCATGACACCGAAAGAAAAAGGAACGAACGTATCGACAGAAAGCAGGAAACTACACGGCGGGGTTAATTTCTCCCACAGCTTTACAAGCTCACTGCCTGCAAGCGGGTCCACAAGCCGAGAAGCATAGATGCAGGAGTCTAAAGTATCTCAACGGATCGAGGCTCTACTTCTCCTCTGCCTCTGCAAGATGCTCTGCGCCTTCGTAAAATTTAGGCAAGGGCTCGAGCTTTTGCCGCAGAACCCAGACGCGGAAATGCCAGGCCGCATTCCTAAGTTGGTACATCGCATGCTTCCGAGTCGGCACGGAGAATACCTGATCCAACTCCTCCAGGGTGAGAGCTATCAAATTTCAACCATTAGCCAGTGCCCCAGATGTAACTAAGGATCACTTACCTTTCGTTTCCGGAACGAATAGCAGAACAAGAACCCATCCAATCAAACACCACGCAGCGTACCAGCCAAAAGCTCCTTGCGGCTGGAAGGCGCGCAGGAGGGACGGCCAGGTGAATGACAGAATGAAGTTAAAACACCATGTGGTGGCGGTCGCCCAGGACATGCCGACTTCACGCACATGCAGTGGGAAGGCTTCGGCGGAATATGTAAAGGGTACAGGTCCTGCACCAGGCGAGTAGAATACTTCGAACAGATACATGCCTGTGGTCACCATGGCCACCCGTTTCTTGCTGTATTTGATCCCTTCTTGGATCCAAAACGAGAAGCCAGTCCAGAGAAGAAAGATGGCCAGGAAAGGGAAGGTAAAGAGCAGGAGGTTGCGCCGGCCCCATGTGTCGATCGTGAAGAATGCCGGCAGCGCAAAGACCCAGTTCAGGATGCCTGTTCCCATCGATGCTAATAACGCCTGTTGAATCGAATATCCGGATTGTGTGAAGATTGTTGTGGAATAGTACGCGATTATGTTCACGCCGCAAAACTAAGGAGATAAAGTCTCGATTAGCCTCTCGTTCTATGCGCAGAGCCGTCGATGGTGTGTTCTCGGGTTATCCCTCGGGATGCAGGAGGTGAGAAAGCTTCTTGACCGGTCAACCCGGGTCTAGAAGCACGCTGGTATATCTCACCCGAGCGTTCGTGGGGAGAATCAGCCTGCAGTCCTCTACTTACTTACCTGTTGCAAAAACATGACGATCCAGGTGGCAAGTGTTGCGCGAGCATTGCGGGGGATTGTAAACAGCTCCAGGAACATTGTGAAGAAGTTTTTTCCCCTGTTCACCTCTCGTTCGAGCTCCACCCCGACATACGCATAGTACAAGTCGCGTGCGGCTTGAATATCCGTCGGGCGAAGGATGCGGAAAGCCTGGAAGGCCTTGTTGATCTTATTGTGCTCAATCAACCAACGAGGAGATTCCGGACAGAAGTAGACCTGCGCACACACGACCAAAGGCAAAACCACCGTTGAGCCCAACATCAGACGCCAGGAGAGGTTGTCTGGCAAACCCATGAATGCAACCCCCATGATGTTTCCGAGCATGATACCGAAGGCAGTCCACATCTGCCACATCATGACCAGCGCTCCTCGAATCGGAGCGGGCGCGCATTCGGCCGCATAGACGGGGACCGTCGACGATTTGGAGCCGATGCCGAGGCCAAGAACGAAGCGAGCGATAAACAGGTTGACCCAGGAGTTGCATACCCCCTCCCAGACCGACGCGACGGCAGCAATGAAGCAAGATACCCAAATCGTACCGCGCCGTGCCAAGTACCTATTCATCGGCTCCGTGAGCCAACAGCCGATGACCGCACAGGCCAGGTAGGGGGCACCGACGACGAGGCCAGTGATATATTCGTCCGTGATGTTGAGCTCCTTCGCACCAGATCAGCATGGCAGTCGTAGACGATTGTGTCTAGCTCACCTTGAGGTAAATGGCCTGTGCGCCATTGTTGACGGTTTCGTCCATACCTTGAACCGCGGCGGCCAACGAGCACATGGCTAGAACCCAATTAGCACAGTTCAGGCAGTCCAACAATCCAAGAACATGCCGCGCTCAGCGACTGATTTCGGTACATACATGCCATGAAGTAGAGCTGCCACGGCTGCGACCATTTATGGGTGTGTTCCCGCCGAATAGCCTCTCTCTCATCCTCGGTCAGCTCTGGGATATTGTGGGCATCCTGAGGATTCTGTGAAATCAGAGCTCCTTTACGGAAAAGCTCTTTGTGGGCCTCCAGACCATACTGGACACAGAATCTGTCCACGTCCTCGAGGAGCTGCTGGCGGGGGATGCCTTCGAGAGGGTTCTTGAAGACGGTGCTGAGTTTGTTGGCGGGTCGGCCCTCGATGTCGTAAATACTCGAGCGCCTTGGCTTCTCTGAATGTTCGGCTGTGGGAGACACTTCATCCATGCCGTCTATCTTCTGGTGGCCGGCATCCGGCCCGTGTTCATCCTTCATCATAGAGGCTCTATGGGATCTAGAAACAAGAGTAGAAGAAGGGGCGTCTGAATAGCAGATCTATCGGGGCAAAGAAAGATTTTCAGGTGATTGGCAGGTAACTGAAGTATTGGAGCACAGGAATCCTCAACTTCTGGCCAACTCGTGGCTTTCAGGTAGCCAGCATCGCTTGACCGAATATCTATGACATTTCACAAGAACAAGATATCCCCACTGTGAGATGCGGGGGATGCGTGCCCAGTTTTTATAGGACATACAGGGTAACAGCCTCGGGCGAATGTCTTCACAGGGCCAATCAGGCCGGAGCAGTGGACAATCTCTTACATAGTAAATTCTCTCAGCAGGCGCGGCCCATGCCGCTACCGGATGATGGAGAGTGTGTGTATGGGAGATTTGGTCTACGAATCATGATTTCAATGGTGTCAGAATACGAAGCCCAGGCTCCATCCACCATAGACATGCGGGATAAACTAGGAAATAGTCTGGCACGCCATCGGTGGGAATTGGGAATGACTGTTCCCCTGATGACATCCCCTCGATGCTATGGCTTTCCATTTCCAGCGTCAGGCAATAATCACGTACACATGGCGTTGGGCTGTCCTCAGCATCACCGAATCCAACGAGACCAGATCGGAATGTTTGTATGTATCATGGGACAAGTGTCGGTCGTCATAATGCAACCACGACTCATGGCATAGTTGCACGGTCACATTGTCTCGACGTATCTACCAATGTCTTCTTCGGTGGAGACTTCCCCCGATCAGACAAGTCACCCCACACGAGCCATTTTCCCAACGCAGATCCCCGTGGGGGATCGCAATGCTTCCGTCCCGCTGCAGAGAAAAGTGTGAGGGCCACGCACGGTGGGGCACGGAAGAGTACAATCCACCACGAGTCAGATCAGGGAAAAGTCCCATTCAAAATGAACCGTCCGACTGGCTCTGGCCGTTCCGATCTTCCAGACTAATGGACCAAGCAACACGAAGCATTGGGGATGGAGCATGGGGGGCCTAAGGCCAACGCCGATCTGCGGGGTGGCGTCCAATCACGTGTGGGCGGAGCCCTATCTCTTGCGTCATTCCGTTTGGGGATTGTCGACAGATTGGCTTCCGTGGGCTTCCATGGGGTAAGTAAGCCTCGATGTCTCCGCTCGCTCTCATCCTGGTTTTGAGGGCTGTGACGTTTATATGATCGTTGCGGCGCCATGGGCCCGTTCGCTCCAAATACCCCACTTTGTGGAGCAACAAATTTAATACCCACCTCCTAGTACTATGTAGCAGTCTCTCTCCACGCGCGAGGGTTCCGCCTTCCAGAGTTATGTATTGATTCTCAAACGGAAGAAAGGATTGGGAGAGACCAATCACGGTAAACCGTTGCACTCTGGAAAGAATGGAGGCAGCTGTTGTCGAGATCTATCGAGTGGCTTGCATAGCTACTGGAGGTATAAGCAAAGCCTATGTCACAGTTTCTAAAGACCTATCTAAGGATCTTTGGCTACTGTAAAGAATAGAGATTTGGCTACCAACTCTTTCGTCGTCATCTACATAGTGGGCGAACCCTTTCCCCTGTTACACCGATGAATCATTCTGTTGTCAATAACCTTGCTTTGTTCGTGTACGACAGCCACAGGTGCCGTCAGTTAAGTTTCTTGTGAAGAAATCTTCCAAAAAGAAACAGAGAAGGAGAACCGACGAAAGCCTAAACACTCTATGAGTTATAGTCCATCGTAGCAACGATTAGCTACATCCACTTATATCTTCTGGCATTAAAGACTTAATCCTCTGGTACCACTTTTTTGCTTCGTACTATCTACAGACAATCTAACAGAGGTTCTATTGTAGAGCCATTATCATTGGTCAAATTGCCAGTCTTGCCCTGCTGTCATTACAGATCAACCGTTGCTTCTGAAGGTATATCAGGCAAGCTCGAGCAGAAGGAATAAGCCCACAACTAGGTTTCTAACAAACAGACTTTCACCCGGAGGCGTCGCACTTGTGATGTGTGTTGGAATGGTGACATACGAACGCTGAATAACGGCAGGCGGTATGACGCCTACTATTTTTACATGTGCCAAGTTGTTAGGGTACATGATCGATAAGCCTGCCGGATAGTATGAGATGGCAATACAAGGCCAATAGTCGATTGAATTACAGCCGACCGTGCCTTTATCTCTATATATGCGGTACCCATCAGAAACCCGGTTCATCGGAGTAACAGGATAGAAGGGGTAGATGATGGGAGAGAGAGATGGATGGTTGTTGCAAAGGAAATGGGGTAGAAGGAGGGTCCGAAGATGAGTATAAAAGGTATCGGAAATAGTGCCCAACAGTAGTTGTAAAGATCTCGAGAATCTGCACAAAGGTAAGACTCCGTGCTCAAGTAGCCTTGGGGTAGACTCGAGCCGCTGGGTCAATCATCACCTCCGAACTGCAATTGGGCATCTGTGGTCATTCTAGCGATGCTACCTCAATCTACCCAAGGCTCATTCAGCCCACGGACCAAGGGAGAACATACCGAGTTATCCGACTTCATACGGGCCTTTTTCCCCTGCCTGCTCCCCCTTATTGACTCAGAATCGGTGAGCTTACAGATTCTACTAATCGTAGTTGACCAACTGTGGATCCTTCCTGTTGGCCAGACCAGGCACGAAGGCCTGGTTCCGTAACTGACTTCAAGGTTTGTTGACTAGCAGAAGTCAATTGCGAGAATCATACATATCAAAGGATTTCTCCTCTTCGGTACTCTGCTGTGCCCCCTGGCTCTTCCGCTAGACGGTATACAACAGTCGTTGACAACCAGGTACCGTCATAGGGAATTTATTAGGGGCGATCTCGACGCAGCTAACAATATGAAATTGCCAAACTCAAAGCTCCCCCCAAAGCCGGTCTGTATCATTATGCGAACCTAGGCAACCGTGTTGCAATTAAAATGTCGGATGTCCATTTGGGGCGACGGCGAATTTCCGCTTTGCGTAGGTGCCGAGCCATTTCTCGCTCGTATCGATCGACCTGGTTAAGCCCAAGCCGGCTAGTCGGGACGAACTTATTTCTCCCCGAGGTCCCAGTGCCGAGGTTCCGAGGCGTTTCAGAGCTACTCTTCTGTGACCCCGGAGTGGAGATCTCCGGAGAAGCTCCAGAGTACTCAGAAGAGGTCAAAGCAATCTAGGTTCTGGCCCCTGTAGAGCTCTAGTATCCAACATTTATCCTCTATACGTAATTAAAAAACAGTTAGAAAATTATTCAAAATTCCATTCTTCTCCAAGAGTATTTTCCATCATTTTTTTTGGAATTTGCATATCCCTATTTATACTGAGCCAAAATTCTTCTAAAAAATTACGTGTATAAGCTTTGAAGTTATTCAGGGCTTTGAGATCATGTGACTGGGCCTGGTCGCTGGACTCTGGAGTTAACCTAATAAACCCCCTTCCGCAGGACCGAGAATAAGCTCACACACGAGGGCCGTGCGTCTGGGGCACAAGGCCAAGGTCCATTGTATACCCCGGAGTAGAATCGAGCCTCAACCATCAGGTGCCAAGTGAAGATGGGTCAGTCCTGGACTGGCCGCTATGACCCTAATGGGTGGCGATTTTACGAAGTCAGTTCCAGAACTAGTTAGGGGAAACTATCCCACTGTGAAGAGTTCATCTACCGACTGATCAATGTGATGATCAATCATGGACAGAAGAGCCGTCCAATGAGCCACCACACGCAATAGGGATAGCGTATCAAGCAAGGTGACGAGAGCACAGACGGGGGTCAATCCCTGTACCTGAGGAACTAATTAGCGAGAACCCTATTCTGTGATTCGTCTTATAAAGCGGCGGATCAGGCCATGAACCACTTCTAGCCTCGTGGCACCACACGGTTGGCCGTCTATCTCATCAAAATGGCGAATGACAGGAGTGAGGCAATTATCATCGTGACGTCCATCTCTCTCGGGCTCTCCTTGCTTGCAGTCAGCCTTCGAAGCTACGTCCGACTGCATCTCCTCCGGGCGTTTGGTGCGGATGACTATATGATGGTCCTTGCAATGGCATTCAATCTTGTATTCGCTATCTGTGGCATTGCCGGCGGCGTAACGGGGCTAGGAAAGAAGCTAGAGTATTTTGCGGACAAACCGAACGACCTGAGAGACTCGCTGCGGGTATGCTGCCCGTGCCATCATAGGTTCTGTTTTAACTTGATCATGCACTCATCCACTTCTAGTTCTGGTGGCTTAGCCAGATATTCTACTCGCTGACGGGCACCGCCGGCAGGACTTCCATTGCGATTTCACTTCTGCGTATTACCATCGTTCGCGTACACCTGATCATCATCTATACGACGATTGCCTTGAGTATCGTGGGTGGCCTCCTCCTCTTCTTCGCGACCCTCCTCGAATGTCGCCCCATCCATCACGTCTGGGATCATGGGATGATGTCTTCACACTGCATGAGCAAGGACTTCCTTCTCGACATCGTCTATACCCATAGTGTGATTTCGGCTCTGTGTGATCTCACCCTGGGTATTCTACCCATTTTCATGATCTGGAGGCTACAAATGAACAGACGTTCGAAAGTCCTTCTCGGAGTCATTCTTGGATTGGGTTGTTTGTGAGTTCCTGAGCCATACTATGCATGATACGACGGGGAAGGACACGTACTGATTGATCCTGCCATGGACTTAGGGCGGGCGCTGCGGTTGTGGTTCGTTTACCATACAACAAAACCTTCAAAGACCCGGACTTTCTTTGTATGTCCACCGTTTGGTAGCAAGCACCTGGGATTCGGTAAAATCCAACTAACAGTGCTGCAGATGCCACCGCCACCCTCTATATCTTAGCGACTATCGAAGCCTGCCTCGGAATCACAGCTGGCTGTCTGTCAACCCTTCGACCCCTCGTGCGGATGCTGCGCGACGGCAGTTCCTATCCGAGTCAAGAAAGAAACGCAGGGTCAGCTATCCACTTGTCCCGGTCACTTCGTGCCCGCAAAGAGAGGCAAAAACTGTCCCGCCACGAATCTGGCACTCGCTGGCAGATATTCCAAATGACGGATATAAGAATATCACCACCACCACTACAATCCAAGGTAGCCGTGCGACGAAGTGTGACAGCAGTGAGGAGAGTCTCTCCTCAAGATATCTGCCACCAACGGTGACAGTGCAGACCACCTTCGAGGTATCTGTGGCGGAGCACGGGCCATGATTATGTCGAGTTTAGGATAGCGTACAGAGCTCTCTGTAGGAAAGGATCCAATACTCATCACCAATCATGTCTTTGTTATTTCTCCCGTTGTGTAGAATGACTCCTCGGTCGTACCCCTGTGATCATACGAAGAGGATCTCCGATCATAGGTTACCTTTACTCAACAACCTCAGTCTCGGCTATGATATCGCCGCAGATTCGTTCAAGGCCTTAACATTGGAAAGAGTGCCGAACTCAAAATGGTCCACTCATTCCTTACCTTCGATTCTGGTAAGAACGACAATCAGATGGTTAATCTTAATGACCCACTTCAGCACCAAATCGATCAGCCTGGCCTGGACGGCCTTTAGGCTTCGACACCAACGGACCCACCAACAACTCAAGAAAACCCTGAGGTAGTCTATTTCGGAGAGAACTTTCCATCTCTGTGCATACGCCAACATGGGTCTGGACTCTGGAGTCCTTGGAGAAAAGTTGCCAGGTCAATACACTGCATTCTTGCGGCAATTCCCTTCTTACTTAATGCTTGTCATCAGTTCATAGTAAGCTTTTGTCGGACTTGTGATGACCTCCTCCTCCTCCATACCAACTTGGACAGTGAGACCATGGGGGAGGCCTGGCTTTATCCCGACTTCTGAAGAAAGTAGCACTCAGTAAACTAAAAGCCCTCTCGAAGGTATGACTATCAACACTCGAAGCCGTGCCTAATCCAACAGTTGTGTCCTCGTGTCGAGCGCAGGCACTGGAAGCGGACCAACTGATAGTTCTTACAGGGATTATCTTTCGGTTAGCCAAGTAGGTTCGGCACCGCGGTCTGCTGGGTTAGCCGAGGATCTTGGGAAAACGAAGAGATTAGGTTCTTCGTATTTACGATTTGGGTATCCTTGATAGGTACTTTGGCAACCCCATGCTACGAGGCTGCAGTGCATGTCAGATACTAGCAGTGTCTCCAAACCCCACGCTACTGGTTGGACTGAACGATAGATCGAGGCGTGGCAATTCTCCCGGGCTAGCTAGCGCGGTTGTTTTGGCAATGCTCGGTATATACTTTGAACCGTGTGTCGATCCGCCTGCTGAATGATACACTTTACCAATATCGATATCTGCTTTGCCTGATGGCAATCGTATCATGGAGCTCCTCGTAGCGCAGGCGGTTCCATGGCTCACCATTCGACAGCGAGGAAGAGGTATGTTTCAGCGACACTACCCCTTGTTTCTGCAGCCGACCAAGGAGACTAGAGTATGAAGCTATGGATTGACTTCGTCTATTGGTCGATGGGCATTCCAGAAAACGTCTCACCCCCAATGTACGTAACGTATAACCTCAGGGAGCTAGGGACAAGAATTAGAAAACACTCAATATTAACGACTCATTGATTGTGCACCGACCGAGAGTGCAATTGGGAACCATGCTTCTCATCAGAATTATTCTGCAGAAGATTGAACGTTGTGCACCGTGGACAGGATTAGAATTCCACTCAGAAGGTTGTCCAGTTGTTGTGATGCGTGAAGCAATACAAGTTGTCTGCGAAAGAACCTCCCTCCCGCCAGAGAATTCCTGCTGAAAGTTACGGACGTAGATTTACTTCCGCCTCGAAAATTGGTTGATGTTTTGCCAAAACCCCAGAGGAAATCTAATGTGTCTGGTTTGATTGCAATGTGAGAAGCAAGGGGTTGAGGAGCTAGACACAACAAACACAAAGTCGTTGGAATGTCAGGCCACGCAAGACGTGAAGAGGAACAGTTAACTTGATGTTTAAAAGGTGGGAAAAGATCGATGAATGAGGTTGTACTCTCATCATATTGGCGATGCCTTCATGACAGGCGGACAGTCTCTGCATGATAGTTTGAGCGATACCCAGATCCCATAGTACACACAACCCAGTTGTTTTAAAATGAAAACTTCAATTCTTATCGCAGCCATTAGCTTCCTCTACCAGTTACCATATTCGGCTGCACAGACCTTGAACATTGTCGCACATCAGGATGATGATCTACTATTCGTCAGCCCCGACGTTCTGCATGAAATTCAGGCTGGTCGCAGAGTTCGCACCGTGTTCCTAACTGCAGGCGATGCAGGGGAGGCTTCCACGGGCTACTGGGAGCAGCGTCAGGCGGGCTCTCAAGCCGCATACGCGCAGATGGCCGATGTCAGTGACATCTGGACGCAATCGGACGCTGGCATTAACGGGAAGAACATTCCCGCCTTTACACTCGATGGAAATCCAGATATCTCACTGGTCTTCCTCCAATTGCCCGATGGCAACCTTGGCGGAAATGGATTTCCGAATACCGGAAGTGTCAGCCTCCAGAGGCTCTGGCAATCGGAAATCAGCAGCATCCAAACGGTGAATGGCTCGACCAGCTACACAAGTGACGAGCTTCTTGATACACTGGCTACTTTGATGAGTGATTTCAATCCGGATCGGATCAATACTCTGGACTACGCCCATGAGTATGGCGATGGTGACCATAGTGACCACTACACCACGGCGTATTATGTGCAAAAAGCAGCCGAACAATACTCCACTGCTCATACCTTGACTGGGTACACGGGATATCCAATCCAAACGATGGCTCAGAACGTGTTTGGCGATGATCTCAAGGCTAAGCAATCCGCTTTCTTCACCTATGCTGCGCACGATTCCAAAGTGTGCCATGACTTAGCCGGCTGTGGTGATGGCAATGAGGCACAGTGGCTACAGCGACAGTATACTATCACTGAAGAGCCCGTAGCGAATGCCCGTCTCCTTGACAACCGTCGGACGGTTGGGTTGGGGGAGAAGGTCGTGCTCGATGGTACGGCAAGTAGAGACCCCAACGGTGCCGCCCTTACTTATCAATGGACACAGATTAGAGGATCGGATGTTGCCCTCTCCAATGCCACCACAGCGCAGCCATCATTTACGAGTCCTCAATCCTCGGAGATACTGGGGTTCCACTTGGTGGTCGGAAATGGAAAGACAAGGAGTACGCCAGCAGAGGTGACGGTTGTTACAACCCATCTAGAAAATGTTGCGCGCAGCGCAGCGGCGATCGCATCTTCGCACGATGCTGGCAATGGCCAGACAGCGGACAAGGCCCTTGATGGAACCATAGATGGTTATCCAGGAATGGTAAGCAAAGAATGGGCAACGATCGGTGGAAAAGCTGGGAGCACTTTGAGGCTCTCATGGGCCAAACCACAGTCGATTTCCGAAGTCTATCTCTACGACCGCCCCAATGTCGATGACCAAGTAAATGGCGGCATTCTTCAATTTGATGATGGGAATAACATTACCGTTGGCGTACTGGACAATTATGGGAAACCCAACAGGATTCACGTTGGGGGAAAGACCACGCGCAGTCTCGTATTCACAGTAACGTCCGTTAGCCCGTCCACTCGTAATGTTGGCCTTGCAGAGATAGAAGTATACGGGGCTCCATCCGGCTGATTCATTTGCGTGGGTGCACCTGGATGTATGTTTACGATGTTGTTTTCTCTGCCGTTCGCAAGCCTGATTAGGTGCCTGCGCTTCTTGTACATAGCACGGCGTTTTTCATCCATATGATTCGCGATATTGGGAAGCTGTTGATTACTCCAAGTACCAACGGATGAGCATCTATTGATAGGCTGATCTGCATGGTCGTGGCGAACACATTTGTCGGCATAATAGCCCTTAGACTCGGGGATAAAGACCATCAAGTAGGTGGTCAGGATTCCCCATGCCGAGATACGTATTTCGCAACTCGGGTGAGAAACATGGGAATTATGAGTCTGTTTTGACGAACAACTAAGATGATTTGTGAGGCGTGTGGTATTGGAAAGGTGACAGTTGCTTAATGATGGGGCACTGTTGATTCTTGGAACGAGGTACTCCCAGCTCGTCGTCGAAGAACCTGCATCACTAATATAAGATGTTGCTATCGATAATAGTTGTGATTATGCTATTCTTACTCCGTGGTATAATTTTTGCCTCCGCACCTTCGAGGTTCCGGGTTCGAAACCCGACCGCAACGGCAGATTATTCTTTTTACTCTTGCTCAACGTCTCCTTTCGCTTTGTCAAGATCGTCTTATGACCCAGCGCGTTGAACTGTTATTTTTCATCACTCTTCTGAGATTTGAAAGACCGTGGCTCTGCTCTTGTTGGTTTGTTTTACGCATGTGTGTATAGATGGTGGGGGGTACACATATATATATGTGTGGGGATGAGGTTCTCCCGAGGTGTGGATCGTCATGAAGCTTGAACCTGCTGGTCGGACAAAACCCACCAAGCGTCTGGAAAATAGGCAGACTGCACACGAGACAAATACTAGATACCTATCTGCAAGGAACTGGACAGGGACGGCAAGCAATGCAAAAGCCACCATTGCCAATAGTCCGACGTCGTACCCGGCGGACCTCTAGGAACGGCCATCTGGATGTCTAGATGTCTACACCGTGACGCTACACTGCAATGTCTGTTCGAGGATCCGGCAGTCATAAGACTTACACTGAGCCTGAGACTCGCAATTGTGTCGGTAGAGCTCTACACAAGAAAATCATGGCCGGATATACATATACCCTCGACGGAGGACTGATATCGTCATCGCGCTCGATTTTGGCACCACACGGCATCGGATTAGAAATCCACTCGTCCCCACCCCCCGCTGCGGTGCATATATCTATAATCTCCGTCGGTCGCCTCCGTCTTCCCCATTCTCTCGCTCCTCTCCGACCACTTGACAACAAGCAAGGAACAACATCAGAATGAGCACTCCAAAGATTACGCTCTACACCAACCACCGGTGCCCCTGGGCGCACCGCGCTCATATTGCCCTCAAGGAGTTGGGATTAGACTACGAGGAAGTCATCATTGACTTGACCAAGCCACGAGAGCCCTGGTATCTGGACATCAATCCGGTATGTGTGTGTGTGTGCGCGCGCACGTGGCTACAATGCCTACGTCCGGCGAACATTCCCAGCATGAATATTGACGTACAAAACCCCCTCCCTTGCAGCGCGGCCTTGTTCCCTCTATCACCTACGGTGAGCACATTATCACGGAGTCCGCAGTTGTTGCCCAATTCCTGGCCGACGCCCATCCGTCGCACCTCCTCCCTCCGTCCAACAGCGAGAACGGTGCCATCCAACGCGCTCGCATCGCCTTCTTCGTCGACACGTTCTTCAGCAAGGTCCAACCCCACTTCCAGACATCCTTGCGGGCCTCCACCACGGAGGAGCGGGATGCTGCTGCGGAGGCGCTCGTCACTGCGATCCGATCGGAGCTGGAGCATCAGTTGCCGGAGGGTTCGGATGGCAAGGGTCCGTTCTTTGGCGGTAGCGAGAAACTGACGTTGGCCGAGGTGCTGACCGGTTCATTCCTTCTGCGCATTCTCTCCTTCCACAGACACGGGTTGCTGAGTGAGAAGGTCCCCCGCTTGCTGGAGGCCACACCGCGATTCAAGCGGTGGGCGGAAGCGACGGTGCGACAGGAGAGTGTGAACTATATCTGGGATGAGAAGGTGTCAGCGGATGCAATCAAAGCCAAGCTGGCGGCGCTTGCGAGTAAGTGAACAGGGGGGACATGTGTATCAATGATCCGCCTGAAGGAGATTGGTTAAATGAACGAATGAATGAATGTATGAAACCATGGCTTCTTCCGGGCTTCCGGCATAGTAGGAACGGGAACGTAAACAGGCCCCCAGTGCAAACGGTGCAAAATACTCTCATCTCTGCCTGGGGCCACCATTCGTACCCAGTACAGTATCAACACCAATCATAGGCAAATGCAAATGACCAAAATACTACTACTAGTACTAGTAGTAGTTAGTAGTCCGAGGGAATCTCGGTGGAAGACTTCAAGTTGCGTAAGCACCGTCCAATACGTGGTCGGGTTTTCCTAAATAGGAAAGCCGCAGAGAGATAACTTCCTAAATAGGTAACTGCTTGAATAGGAAACGAGTCATCTGACAAATGATTGTCCTTCGTTATTTATCCTCGTCCTTCAGCCTTGACCAGCCTCTGCTCTGGTACGCTGAGGACCGTATAAAGAAATCTTTCCCAGGCATCCGGCTCTCGCGTTGTGTACCTCCCATTCAAAGTGTCGACACCATGGCGATTATCGCAGTCGCAGGCGGAACTGGCAGTATCGGCCAGACCATCGTAGAGGCCCTCGTGGCGCATGGCAAGCACACGGTTCTCATCCTCACACGCAAGGTGAGTCAGTATGCCATGGGGGACGGTCGCTGGGGCGTGCTTGCGAGAGTCTGATACGTTCAGTACGATGGAAGCCACACCACCCAGTCAACAAGCTCACCTACTTAGCGGTAGACTACGGTGACGTTGGCACTACAGCAAAGTCTCTCGAGGCGGCAAATATCGACACGGTCATCTGTGCATTCGGCATGGAATCTGAGGCCATCAGCGAGGCCCAGGTCAATCTTATCCGTGCCGCCGACATGTCGGGGTCGACGAAGCGTTTCGTCGTGAGTGGGTACGATATGTTATTCAAGGAGGAGTCCGTTGATTGCCATTCTCTCTGGTGAGAATCAAAGGCGGCTGATAACAACTCTAGGCACATCCCTTTGGTCCCTACCGCAAAGTGGGCGTTGGCGGCGACTCATGCGGTCGAGGAATCGAGTCTCGAACATACGCGCGTGGTCAATGGGTTATTCCTGGATTATTATGGTCTTCCGCACTGGAGAAGCTATCTCAAGCCATGGGTCAATGCGGTCAACGTGGCAGGGAAATGGGCTGTTCTTCCGGGGGATGGGACCTCCAAGGTCAACTTCATTACCACCCAAGACATGGCACGGTTTGTCGCAAGACTCATGGACTTATCGGAGTGGCCGCCTGTGAGTTTCATCGCTGGTCAGGCTGCATCTTTCAAGGAGATTCTTCAATTGGCAGAAGATGCGCGAGGTACGATACTCCGGAAACGCTGGGTGGGAACCCTTTCACTTACCTTTGTATTAGGTGAACGTTTTTCCGTCAACCATGACAGCCTCGAAAACCTTCGAAACGGCCGAATATCCTTCCCCGAATTCGAGGAGACTGGGCTCGAAGGTACTGGACGATCAACGGAGTCTATTTTTGCATTATTTCACTACATCTCTGGCACTGGGGGATATGCTATTACCAGCGATGATACTTTGGACACTCGGTTTCCTGACATCCAGGTTACGACTGCGGCGGAAGTCATCGAATCTTCTTGGCGAAACCGGTGACGAGGTTAAAATATGCCCTCAAGCCATTTCGGATGACAGACTCTGCACTCTCTCTTTTGCCTTTATGGCTTGCTGGCGACAGCTGGGGAATAATCCATCGTCATGTGTATCGAATGAAATCTTGAGTACGGCTACTCGAAATGAGTATATCCATGAATGCGTTTATCACCGTGTGATGAGCTACTCGTCGCCCCTCAGTTTCCAGAGCGGAATTTGAGGGTTATGGTTTTTCCACAGAAATTCAAGTTCCCTCTAGTATGCGCGTTCATCAAGAGCTCAATATTGCGTTTGGTACAGGGTTATGCTTCACCGGCAAGCAGCCTTCATAGCTAGACATTCAGTAGTCGGGCCCCAACAAGTTAATAGAATCTTGATTGATTGATTGAGAAGGATGCTGCACCTACATACTGGCTCCTAGAGATCCCCGAGAAGCGGGCTCTGGATCTATACAAGGGTTTATCAATACTGCATGCGTCCATTATTATCCAGAGGGCCACCGCTCTAATGTTGACTGACGGGTTGTCGGCGTCGAATTCGAAAAGGCACTTGTGTAAATGGCTTACGGACCCCAAATCCAAACCGAGGTGAGCCAAACTGCAAGGACGAGTCAGGAGCTAGTAGCTCGATGTCAAACATGATAGCCATCATCGAGCTTGCGAGCAATATAATGCGCTTTGCTAGGTTCCGACCCGGACATGCGTGTTGTCCGCCTACATCCTGTTAATGGCTGGCCAAGTGTCTTATGCACAAAATGTCATAAGTTTCGAGTGGGTCATACCTCCATAGGGTATCCAGCTTCCTTCGAGCCCGTCTAGGGTGAATTGCCCTGAGGTTGGAGCTTGACTGTTCATCTTCTTGTCCTCTTTCCCAGATGGGGGACTAAATGGCTGAGAGCATTTTTTTCTTACAGGCCCGCTGCTTTCGTCTGTTGGATCAACAAGGAACCGCTGTGCCCAAAAGGTATCCAGCGGATACTGTCCACTTCGTGTGTTCCATACAGACTCGTCGGAGTGTGCGAGTCCTGTGTTGATGAGGATCGTTTTATTAGACTGGATGGTTACTCCTGCCACGGAAAGCGGCTGATGTGGCGAGCAACGGGGAATATGGATCTGTACACCGAAGCGCAAAGTCTCAGCATACATCGAGAGCAAAAGTTGTTGCTTCCCAAGCTTGTTGAGGTCAAACCGTGAGGTGGTCCCCGGCTGAATGCAATCCCGAATCTCTAAACGAATATTCTCAACGAGGGAGCGATCACGGTACATGTGCGTACAAAGGGTCATGGTAGATGGGACGACATTAGTAACAGAGCTAGCCAGAGGTTAGTCATGATGGTGAAGAAGATGTGCGAGAAAATGAGCACAGCAAGACATACGCCCAGATGAAGCCAAGATCCGTGGATGCCACTGACCTGGCATCTTGTCCTTCAATTTTCAAGAGCATCTTGTTCCTTTCACGCATCATGGCCGATCCCCAATATGGATCGGCTTCATCTCCACCCGTCTGTTCACTGCTTGGCCTCGTTTCCGATAGTAGAGCAGCCTGTTGATGCCATTTCATGATCGTATCGAGGAGTTCATCTCGCAAACGGTAGGCGTTGGGGATCAGCCACGATGGTAAGCGCTTGGCTAGCCTCATTATTTGTTTATCATATCGCCACAAGTTACGGTTGAAGTCCGGGTTCCTTGTGACCAGCAGCGGACCGTATAAGGCTTGCAGGATGGCTGACCCGAGGTGGTTCTCAAAGAACTCGGTCAAGTCCATCCCATAAGTCCATTCCGGAGTCATTGGCAGGGCCGTTGCCAAGGAGGCAAATAATAGTCCTTCTATGCGCTCCGTCATTGGGTTCAGCCCAGCGCCTAAGAGGCCCTGAACAAGGTTCTCGTGGGTATGGTAGCTCACACGTCCGTGCCACGGCGTTTGGCTGCCGGGAATAGGTCGATGCCAGGAGCCCGACGTATCAGCGAGATAAACATCAACAGCTTTCTGCTCCATCCCAAAGCAATGCTTCAGTGCAATACTATATGCTCGGGTAACTGTAAGGCCAGGCTTGCTGAAAATGGCAGCGATGTTCTTAGCTCCTTGGACTATATAGACCTCACCATTCAGAAGATTTACCCGCACTGGCCAACGGCCCTGGCAATAGCAGCTGGCGGTTGGTTAGTCCGGATGTTCATATCTTGACAGGAGTGCATACTCACGAGACCCAATGGAAAAAGTTTGGTCCATCGAGCACAAATGGGATGGTACTTTTCAGGAACGGTATTGTGTATGGAAGGCAGCGTGGTGTGTTGGGATCATTGTTGAGGATTTGTAGCTTCCTCATCATAGCCCAAAGTACCACCACTGTACCCACAGCTACCATCCCAATCCCAACCCACGAAAGACCGATTGCAGGCATGATCAAACTGTCAAAGGCGGTTCCATCTGTGAGACTATCTGGCAGCCCACGTGCGGACGCAGTTGGAATCACTTCTATTTAGCCTTCCTCGAAGCAAAGCGACCTCGATCGGACGGCCGGTTAACCAAGACGGAAGATTTCAATTGACCTGGAACATTGACGGCAGATCATGCCCCAGGTGGTACCCACAGCGCCGTCAATGAGGGGTTTCATGCATGAATGATAGCACTGCCTCTTAATAGCCCCTCATAATTGCATGGCCAAGTCTGTTCTGCATGCCGCCGTCGCCCTGAATGGCACCCTGCCTGGAGAATGGCCCCCCCCACGGGAATCGGAGTGGGTTCTATGCAACCAAAGAGAGGAGCAACAGGCTATTTTTGGTGGGTGGGAAGGGCATCTGTATCGGTTTGAAGCCTCTTCTTGTCAGCTCGTTATCGGAACAGTGTGCCTTCACTATCCCGATCCAGCTGAGTCCTTTTATCGCGTTCCTAGCCCATTTCTCTCCTTATCGCTCAACAGTCCATTCGGTGTCTTCCGCCGGAGTTCCAGACATCATGGCAGACTCAATGTTGATGATGCATGCCAAAATATCCAAAGGTGCCTTCTTGGTGAGTGTCACTCCTCAGAGACATCCGTTCTCTGTGCAACTAATCTTTCGATTCACAGGGCGTGCTCTGGGCGTTTACGGCGACTGACACTATCATCGTCCTGTTTCGCATATTTGTCCGAATTGCCTTTTTCCGTCGCCTCTTCGTCGATGATTTCTTCGTCCTACTCGCATGGGCCATTATGCTGACAAACGCGATCATCTGGCAAATCCAGGGGCAAGTGCTGTACAAGTTGTATGCGATCAGCGCTGGCCAGGAACCATACACCCCCGCCGTTCTGCCCATGTTCGAATCATTTATGCGATATATCGCTCCTATGACTATCATGTTTTACTCCGGGCTGTGGGCCATCAAGCTCTCGTTTATGTCCTTTTTTTTCCGCCTCGATTCCAAGGTCAAGAGCCACCGTATCTGGTGGTATGTTGTTATGGTGGTCATCGGAGGCGTCTATATTGCGTCCGTGGCCGACGTTGACTACAAATGTAGCCTAGGCGGGATGGAGTATATCATCAGTGAGAAATGGCAATCCTGACCTGGCCGAGTAGACAAATACTAACATAGAGTTATAATCAGCCAAATGCAGCGACCTCGATCATGTCCATTATCAGAACCGCACATTCTGGGCCAACTGTGCTGGAGATATTGTCACAGATATCTTGAGTGAGTGGATCTAAGTCTACATGATGGGCCATGGAGCTAATGCTTTTTGCCCGATTAAGTCCTCTCAATCCCTATTCTCATTCTATGGAACACCCACATCTCGCTCCGTAAGAAGTTAATTCTTTTCAGCATATTCTCCGCGACCGTCCTTATTATGGTTGTGGCCATTATCCGAGTGGTTGTCAATAATTCTCTCAACAGCAGTGTGGATATCGGCTGGTTGTACTTCTGGAGTTTCGTTGAGATGGGAACCGGTGTGTTGTCTCCGGCGATTCTTGAATTGTTGTTATAGTCATTGCTCTTGCTGATGTGGTGCCTACAGGGATCATTATTGCGTGTATCGCTTCGTTCAGACAGCTCTTCGTCAGCTCACAAAACCAGCATCTATTTGGCAAGGTCAACCATACCCCACATAACCCGCTGTTGGGCGTACCGGGCAAGAAATATGGCCTGTCGCGGGAATGCTCTGCTAGGGACACGGAGTCACAGACCAGTGATACGGCGATTGTGCCGATGGATTCTGTGCACGTTCGTAGTGACTTTGAAGTGACTACTTCACCTAAAAGGTGAAATTCGTTCCAAGATGGCCAGTTCATTGGGAACGGTCTGCTTATCGTTCCTCTTTCCTTTCGGCTTTCGCTTTCTCCTTCGATTTGTGATTCCATCCGTGTGCTGTACATTTTTCTTTCTTGGACATGATACTTCTGAGACTACAGATAAATGGACCGACTGCTATCATAACTGACACGAATCACTTTAAGAAATGTGCAGTCAGCAGAGCGTACGTTGCATGCCGGCCAGTGGCCACGCAACGAGAGCATGAAACTATGACTACGGTATCCGTCAATAACTGCCACAATGGCCTCAATTATTGGGGTTAGCTTATTTTGCTGGACCCATCTATGATCCTACACTAGTTTGGACATCTAGCCCTGCGGAATAACACACATCCCTTCGTCTTCACCTTCTCCAACTACCCTTGTTCTCAGCCGCCAGCGCAGCAGACAACACGTATTGTTCAACAAATTGCCCTGTCCCAAATCTGACACAGAAATGCTAGCGTGTCCGGGTGGGGGGGGGGCGAAGACCTGCAGCATCCCCGCCTCAGCTTCAAAACCCCTGGTTCCCGGTCAGATTAAAAATCTGAACGTGGATCTGTTCGTGGATAGCACCAAGATTGACGCTTTTGCCCATGGCAACAGACACGGCGTTGTCATTGATAGGCAGTGTCACGAATGGAATGGGAACGAACCGCACCTGCTGGTAAATAGCCCTCCATGCCAGTGGCTTGTCTCTCTGGTCTAACCAGGTAGGACTTGTTCCGCCAACAAGTATGCAAAGTACCTTTGTAGCTCGGTTTAGACAACAAGAATCTGAATCTCACGTAATGACCCCACTGGTCAACGTCAGCGCCAACAAGGACTAATGCAGCCTTTCCCGAAGACATCAGCAGGGCGAACGTAACCCCACTTGGCACTGGACTGATCCGATGCGCGTGTTCTCAGGTTCGGAAAGGGGATGGGTCCAAGGCGAACAAGGGCACCGAAGGGTAGGTTGCGATCAATGAATTAGGATTGTTAAGAGACGCCGAGAAACACGATTGCCAGTGTACTGACTAGGCAAAAACACACTGATGACATTGCATATGTACAATGACCTCGTTTAGACTGCTACGGCGGGGCGAATAATCGTGAGCGCACACTGTAGAGTACACCCGCAGCACCTAAACCGGCAATCAATGAGGCATTATAGGGAAGAGTACCCTCTAGCCTCAAAAGCCTATATAGATACGCCATACACGAAGTCTGCCTTGAAGAAGCGATAGAAGCAGCCGTAAACTGGACCACGGGCTGTCAGCTGTCACATTCCGAACGGAGCGAGCCACATTATTAGAACCCTAAAGCATGACTACGACAGCAAGGATTGTGACTTGCTTGCTTTTTTATGTACTCTAGTGGGCTACCATAGCCCCTGTATATACTTGTCTACAATAGCATCTAGTCCTTACTAGTGTATACTATTCCAGAGGGGCTATTCCCCGCTGCTGAGGTAATTCATGCGGGCAAGTTCGAGCCAGGCTTACAGACATATCCCATAACATGGATTAAGAAAGCATCGGCCTGAGGAGCACTCATATGGACACCATGAGATTTAATATTTCGCCCTACGGTAGACAAGAGATCGATCTCCTTTCATCCTTCGAACAACTGATCACTTTGATCATTCAACATGGCAAGCTTTCATTTCCCCGTACGGGCCTTGTCCGTTCGAATCGTCTCGCGCTCGGTGTACCGCCAGTCATTAGGGCAAATGCAGACCCGCTGCTCATCGCGAAAGGCCGCAACAGGCAGCATGACACAATTGCTGGAAAGAGTTCATAGGACTACCAAGGTTTACCTTGACTTTGTGAAGTCCTTGAACCTCCCCGAGCCATCATATCAGTATGGTGACGGACTCGATCCCCGCCAGCCACTTCCACAGGAGGTGGCAGAGGCCCGGGAGTCCGCCATTGAGGCAACCTACGAGCTCCATCACTTACTCCTAGGTCCACTGGGGCTTCTGCTTAGCTGCCCTGGCGAGGTTCGCTTCCTTTCCCAGCGTTTGCATCCCTTTTTCTTCTCTCTTGTCTGACCTTTGCACAAGCAATTGTTTCTCCTCAGCCTCCAATACATCTACCGCTATCAGATCGCCCCTCAAGTTCCCGTTGAAGGCACGATCACGTTCGAACAGCTCGCCCAAGCAACGAATCTCAACATCAAGGATCTCACTCGCTTTCTTCGAGTAGCCATCAGCCGCCATGTCTTCTACGAGCCCCAAAAAGATGTCATCGGCCACACGGCAGCCTCCAAACTCCTGGTCAACAACCCCATGGTAGAGGCATGGCTTCTCAACATTGCCGAGGAATATTGGCCGGCATTCACACGCACGGTTGACGCGACAGAGAAGTGGCCTGGTTCAGAAGAGCCCAACGAAACTGTAAGAGGACCGTACCTCAGTTCCTCCACCGAGGCTTACAATCTTGACCGCATTCACTCCCACAGGGCTACTCCCTCGCCTTCAACACAAACATGAACCCCTTCGATGAGATTTCGCAGGACCCCCGCCGACGAGCCCAATTCATCACCGCCATGCGCTTCTCCCACCTCCACCCATCCTACCACCTGTCCCATCTCCTCGATAATTACGACTTCGGTACCGGCGAATGCACCATCGTCGACATCGGTGGCTCCCACGGCGAAGTTAGCACCGAGATCGCCTCACGATACCCCCAGGTTCGGTGTGTCGTCCAGGATCTGCCGAAGACAATCGCAAACTGGACTATGCGCGTACCTGAGGACTTGCAGGATCGGGTCACCTGTATGGCGCACGACTTCCTGACCCCTCAGCCTGTCCACGGAGCGGACGTTTACCTTCTGCGTTGGATCCTGCATGATTGGTCGGACAAATATTGCGTGAAGATCCTGCAGAATTTGGTTCCGGCGTTGAAGAAAGGGGCTCGAGTCGTTGTTAATGACATCTGTATTCCTGAGCCGGGGGTATTGGGGCCTAAGGCTGATCGTGATCTGAGGTATGTGTTTGAGACTTTTGTGCTCTGTTCCATGTGTGCTCTTGAATGTGTCGCTGACTCGATGACAATTGCTAGGTTTATGGATATTGCTATGAAGGCGTTCAATAATGCTCGAGAAAGAGACGTGGAGACGTGGAGGGAGTTATTCAAGCAGGCGGATGAGCGGTTCCGGTTTTTGGGTGTCAACGTGCCTGCTGGGGCAAGGATGGCCATCATTGAGGCTGACTGGATGGGTCCATAAGTGAGAAGCAGGTACTTTGTGTATCTGGTATATCATGGGTTGGATAGAAGACGCTATGATATCGAATGCCCTTGGGCAAGCTCAGCGAAGTGTAGAGGTATCTATTATCGAGATATATATATCTATTTACAACTAGAAATAGATTATTCGGCCAGCATTCATATTGAACCCTATCTTTTACTTCAAGACGGTCTGGTCCACCCCACAACCAGCGAGGGTGTGACTCTCTATCCTACCATCGGTGTTACAAAGCCCGTGGCTGCTACTGATTGGTAAACCTCGGCCAAGCATAAGACGGATCGGCAGTGTAGGTTGAATCCAATTATCTATCGCCCTGGAAATAATACATGGTCCCTAGATTGCAGAATGAGAGGATGCTTCTTAGACTCGCCGGCATTTCAAGTGCACCTGCTCTGCATCCTTCATCCGTAGAAGCAGTTGCAGATCAACATCCCTCGTAGTGGCCAGGACCCTTTCGCGCGTCTGTTCAAATGTCTCTCCCGCGTTGGCCACGGGACTGATGCGGTGATTTCGGAAAAGACTCGCCAGGACCGCGACAAACTCCACCTGCGAGAATTTATTACCGGGGCAGTTCTGTGGCCCGTCCGACCAGGGGAAGTATGTGCACCGCACCGGAGTGATAAGCTGTTCGTCCTCAATCAAGGTCGCCATGTCCGACTTGCTTGTTCTGACCCACCGTGAGGGTTTCCACTCCAATGGATCTTCCCAGTGCTGGGGATCGATGTGCATCGTGAGAAGACTCGGATTGACTCCCACCTTGGGTGGGATCATGATAGTTTTATCGCCGACCTTCAGTGGTTGCGGCTGGTCGTTGGTCCATTTGGGTAGGGAGGGGATGGGGGGGTAGAGACGCAGGGTTTCAAGCTGTCAACGGTGAGTATTCAAATAGTACGCAGCTATCAGAGACGACCAGGCCTACCATGACAGCTCGGCAGCGATTGAGCTTGGGGAAAAAGTCGACATATTGACCCCTGGCGTCTGCCAACAGCCGAAGCTCCTCGGCAACCCAATCTTGCACCTTGGGGTATGCGGCCAGTAGAAGGAGTGCAAAACTCAGCGTATTAGCCGTGGTATCGTGTCCTGCAAAGTTGATGACGAAGATGTTGCCAAAGATCTCGTCAGTCGTCAGTCCTTTTGGCGACGCATCATCGGCTTTGCCCATTGCGTCCTCCTGCTTGCGATTCATGGCGCGCACAAACGATGTCATTAGACCACCCGACCCAGCCTTGCCCTCGTTAAACGCCTGTACTTCTTCATCCAGCATACGCACCATGTGCTGCTTAAAGTCCGTCGCGGCCTTGGCCAACCGATGCCACGATTCCGGAGCAAACGAAAACGAGAGGAATCGCCGGGGCATAATCATCAACAAGATGGCATTATCGAGGACGGTCTGCAGGGCATCACGATAACTTACAGAGCTCCTTTGTTCCTGGTGACAGCTGTCACTAGCACTCTGGAAGGGATACGATTTGCGAAATCCTATAGCAGCCAGGACATTCAATGAGAGTGTGCGGGTGTCCTTTGCGACGCTAGAGATCTTATCGAGGCCTGGAGAGGCCCAAATCCCAAGCATCTGGAGGGTCTGCTCAGTGCTTTCATCCCATACGAAGGACATAATACTCTCGTTGAAGGGAGTAGCTAGTACTTTTCGATGACGCGGCCAGTCCGTTGAATTTGCTGTGGAGATACACGGTCCATAGACTTCGAGCACCGCTACGAGGAAGCACAACGATTAGACAGCAGGGTCATACACCACCAATGGCCCAGGGCAGACACACCATACTGTTCCACGGGGCGGATAAAATCTGTCCGTCGTTGGAATATGTCATGGATGGCTTCGGAGTCCGCGACATTGATGTAAATTTCCTTGGGAGTGACCAGCGCCCAGATGGGACCGTAGCGACGATGCGACTCACCCCGGTCCGCAAAGTACCATCCGCGCCGCGAGTAGCGACCAAAATCACCCCAGTGGATGGGCAGGCGATCGAGCCAGGGCCAGAGATGGGGCTCAATCAGGACCCAAAGCAGGTTCTGGGGGTCGATACAGAGCCTCACGAGAGGGATCCCCATGACGCACGCGCGGCGATAATTGATCTCCATCGCTACCAAGCTCCAGGCCACGTAGGCCACGGCCAGCGTTTGGAGGCACAGCAGAAACATGGCGATGGGCACCGCGGGCGGCGTGATTCGGGGGATACAACGTAAGGAGGAATTAGCAGTGAAGATAGACGCAAAAGAGGCACTGACGCGGAGGAAAGGAAAAGGTACAGGGCCCAGGCCGCATTAGCGTGTCGTGCGTTGTCTGTCTCATTCATTCTCGTCGGCTCCCGCGGTTCTACGCCTTGCCCTAGTTACTCCGTAATCGATAGGCCCAAGGGGACAGGGATCAATAAAGGTGCAGCAGAGTAGCGTCGGCGAGTGGAGAGTGGATCTGCAGTCTCACCAATAGCGAATGCGATGCCTCTGAGAGCTCTTTGTGTTCCGCGTTGAGGCCATCTCAGACTAGGGCTTGATCTAGGACAACCCCATTTCTGACATGCATCCCAACCGCCACACAGCCAATCTAATGGCACGATCACAGCCCAAACTGGACGCCTACAGATGCGTCCAAAGTACCCTGATAGCGTGGCTTCATTTACCCCTCACCGGCAACTGTGTGTTATTCGCCTCTCCGAGCAACTGCCTAATTGGGAGCTTATCCAGAAACTGTTGAGTAACTGGTTTGCCCTGCCTTGGAGCCTGATTCAAAAGTCAGTGTCCAGCGACGATGCCGGATGAGTATCTCTTCCTTACCACTCCGCTTCGTACCTGCATGTTTATAGGCCCCATTGAGTCGCAATGTTGGACGGCCTAGTGAGGAGCGTCTCCTCGACCGAGCCGCATGATATAGCCACTGGGGAGCAGACAAGGCTACATCGCGTCGTTTATCTCCTGCTTTCAGTACTTCTTGTGTGGCGACTATGGGCATTCACCATCTCGCCGCGGCTCCATCGTGACAGATTAGAGTACCTCCCATATTGGATTCCATGTAGGTTGCGGCCACCTCGCCTCCGAGCCACCATAGCTAATGCTACTAGATCTAGGTTTGTTGTAAGAGCCATCTCCGAGGGGAAGCGCCACTGACTCGAGCGACAAAACTCGCCTACTTTATAGGTCATGCCATACCTTTCTTTAGAAATTCTAGCACCCTCTTTGCTCGGGCAAAGAAAGAGTTCAACCACAAGTTGTGTGCCCTACGTATAGCCGGGCAGGATCTTGTGATGGTCACGACCGCGGCCCAAATTGCCGCGATTGATCGTGACAGCCAGACATTTGCTTTCGAACCATTCGTAGACATGGTGTACGAGGAGATCGCCACTGTCTCGTGCGCGAGCAAGCCGATTTTGTGGAAGACGCCGGCGGAAGGTTATGAATCGCTTTTTCCAAACGCCAAACAAATGACCGCCGCACATACAGGAATCCATCTGCTGCACAAACAGCTCACACAACCAGATGCAATGCACCGTTTTATGGCTAAATCCCTAGCCCATGTGAACATGACACTGCAGTGGAACTCGTTCTACCAGACGAGCGTCCTCGCCTCCACCCCAGACGTCAAGGTGGTTTCTCTGGAATGCTTGTGTCGTGATGTGATCATCGATGCCCAGCTCACATCATTTTTTGGCCCTCGCATACTGGAGCTCGAGCCCAATATCCGATCGTTTCTGAAAGCATGGGATCACATCAGTTGGCAGGTCACATACAAACTCCCATCCTTTCTAGCCAAGCATGCCACGCAGCTCCGGGACCATCTCATTGAGGTTCTCGTGGAATACTACGCCGTCCCCGCCGAGCAGCGGCCAGGCTCTGTCTCCTTCGTTAATGATGTCTATAACGACTATAAGCAAGCCGGAATTCCGGATCGAGATATTGCAGGCATCGTTTTTACGATCCTTTGGGGGTAAGCCGGATGCGTTCCATGCTCTCTATTCCATTGATTCAAACGTGCCAGGCTTAATTCCAATGTCAACGCGATATCATACTGGATGATCGTCCATCTGATGAGCCACCCCACCGTGGTGAACGAGATCCGAGAGGAGATTGCGCCGATGATGCGGGCCCTCGACTCTGCCCCTACGATGGATGGGACGATCCTTGCGGAGGTCACCAAAGACCCACTGCTAAACGGCTGTCCCATCTTGAATTCCACGTTCAATGAGACCTTGCGGTTCACCGCCACCGGCAGTAGCTTTCGTGAAACTACGAGAGATACGACCCTGGAAGGTTATTGCATCCCGAAAGGTACCAAAATGATCATCCCGCAGCGGACTCAAATGATGCACAGTCTGGCCTTTGGACCGGATCCTCAAGATTTTGATTGCTACCGGTTCTACCGGGACAAATCCCTTCTGCGAAAGGTGGAGTTTCGCGGGTTCGGTGGCGGTACAACGTTGTGCAGCGGGAGGATTGTGGGCAGGCATCAAGTGTTGGCCTATCTGGCACTTCTCCTTTGGAGGTACGACTTGGAGGTAATTGGGCCGGACCAAGAAGTGTTGGGGGTGCGAGGGAAAGGCTTCCCAAGGCTTGACGAAGCTAAACCAAGCCTCGGACCGGGAAAGCCCATGGCGGGAGACGATCAGATCCTTAGATTGACTCGCCGTACGGTGTAGAGATACTGAAGACATACTATGCATGTGGTGCAGATATCTCTTATTATTCGAGTCTCACGTACCTGTTGTTCTGGGTGTCTGGTTGAAAATCTCCCTACCATGGTTTACATCACTAGGAATACAGACAGGTTTTCAATCCAAACCACTTCCACAAGAATAGAAACAGAGAAGCAAAAGCAAAAGCAAAAGAAAGAGGCAATCGATGCATTCTGGTAGTATTGTAGAGATAGTAGATTACTTAGAGACAATCAACGCGTTCTCATATCCTACTACTGACCGAGGTCGACGCAGCACCATCCCCATACCATGCTCAAGCGGATGCAGCGCAACTGTCCCCCCTTACTGAAGTGCTTATCGGCTTGCCGTTGCCATTGGATGCGGTTGCAGTCTTCAACGATGCAGCACTCGTCGACGGACTTGCACTGCTCGATGAGGCTGCAGTGCCGGACGAGTTTCCAGTGAGATCAACACAGGCAAAGCTCATTTGCGTGGTGGTGGCAGAGGCCGATGCATACACCGCTTGCGATAAATCCCAGTTCATACTCACATAGGGCCAGCAGATTCGGCCATCAGCCATTGTGACCATATCGCCTGCGACGAAGGTATCTGTGCTTTTCAACGGGCTGCCGACCTGGTTTCCATTGCCATCCACCTGTTGAAAGAAGGTGCCGGCAAACTGCCCCCGGCATCCCATCGCCACAAAGTCGCAAATGGGATCCGAGATCTCCTCCCACGACACGAGTGCACTGTTGTTCCCGAACGTCGCCGCATGCGCATTCGAACAGTCGTTGGCGCCTTCGGTCAGCCAATTGATCTGGGCATCGCCGTCTTCAGCGCCGACTTTCGAGGTCGCCTGCTCTCCAACCATGGTGTATTTATCGGAGAACAGTGAGATGGCGACATTGCGGTTGTTGGTGCGATTCAGGGCATGAGTGTAGCCACTCCCCATCCACGTGTTTTCGGTGAGATCCATTGCACCACGGGAAACCCAGGCGAAGATGTACCGACTGCTTTCCGCAAACCGAGCAAGAGCACTGTAGCTCCCGGACATGCCGCCCATGGGCTCCCCCGAGGCTCCGTTGGTGGTATTCTCATTGGAGATCTTCACCCCGTCACTGGACATGCCCAGCGTTCTGGTATTCAGCCAGATAGCCCCCTGGTCTTCCGCGCAGATGCTCGCGAACGGAGGTTCATCGGCGGACTCGAAAGCGATACCTGTGTTATGGCTACAGCCCCAGGAGCTGCTAGCCCCGGTGATCGTGACCAGTGTTCCATTATCTGCAACGTACTGAATACTGTCACCGAAGTGTCCTGCTGCATCGCCAGAGTAGTCTGTGACGACAAAGTAGGCGCCGTAGAGACCCGATTCCTCAGAGTAGACCAGGTCGCCGTTGAGATCAGGCGACGCGGAGAGACCGTCCGTCTCGTGGACATCGGGTCCACCCAGCCACGTCTTCCACGTCTGTTTCCCATCGGTGTATCGGTAAAGGACCGGGACGGGTGTGTCGCTGGGGGGTGCATTGGTCGTTCCAGATGGCATGGCCTCATTTGTCAGGAGGGCAAACCCATCATTATGGGCCACGAGTCCGCCCGCTGCTCTGTGTCCTTAGCACCCACATCATGATCCCTCGTAGCATAATCACATACCTTCCTTGCCACCGGACACTGTCACCGACGTTCCGGTCGCTTTGAATGTATCTACATCCACTTGCTGCACATGAATGTCTGTTTCGCTCGCGTCAAGGTAGGCAATGTAAGCGGACTTTCCATCGGGCGAGACAGCAAATGGAGTTCGTCGATGGTGAGGGTACCCAGTCCAGTAGGCCTCCTTGATGGGGTTAAAGGAATTTTGAAGTGCCAGCACCCCAGGGTATTTGTGCAAGTTGGATTCGGTCAAGGCCGCCGTGACGCGCAGCGCCACAGAGAGCAAAGAAAGAGCGACAATCCCTCTCATGGTGAAGGGGTGGATGGCAGTGCCTTGGTTTAAGCCAGTGCATCTGTCGCCGATGGGTTCACATTTATATATACAAATCTGCAGTACATTAAGCTATGTCCGCCGGTTTGCTAGGGCGTGCCTTACTTCTCTTTCTTGCCATGGTCCAGAAGAATTCCCCTGTTTCTACTTCTGAAACATACAATGCATTCCACCAATAAGCGCACCATCGTTGGGTCCCACTAAAGCTCGATATCCCGAGCTCCCACTACCGTCCACTGCAGGCTCTCCCGATGTGGATCCGATGTTTCACTCTCATCACCACAAGGAACAGACGCTCCCTTATTTACCAGAACCTCACCAACAAAGAGCGATCCCCGAGACATTTGGTACCTGTTGGGGTGTCTCAGAGTAATCGGCTTAATAAACCTGAGCAGCCGGTTCGATCAAGCATTAATGCCGATACCCCCTATCAAAGGTATGAAGCAGAGAAAAAGAAGGGGCGCCCAACTCACACGAGGCACCGCCGCTGATAGCAGTGCAACCAATCCCGTGTTCAGAGGCCCCTAAGACGACGACGTATGGAGGTAGAATATTGCCGCTGCCCTGGAGACTGGAGTCACGATTCGGAGTTCTTCATTGCGTCACAATCGGTGGTCTCGGTAGTTTAAACATTTCCTTTGGTGACTTTTTCCCGGAGGACACAATCGAGACCATTGCTTGTGGCATCAGACGTGGTGAAACAGTGACAGGCTCCTTAATCTCATGAAAAGCCGAAGATCCACCGAGGGGGAACTGGAACTACTGCAACCACACTGGTACTGTGTCGTGCCCGCTGTTTTCGGATCAAACACTATCCTCTGTATTGCGATTCGGATGCCTTCCTACTCGAGAGCGAATCCCCTGCAATCCAACTTGATTTGAGCCGCGTTCGGCTAAGAACCGAGGTTGATGTTAGACAAGAGATGGAATTCGAGGATAGGAAATCCAACGCCGGCCCGTGAGATTATCCGCCCTTTTCCCGTCAATTCCGGGAGGCCTCAAATCTCGGGTGTCCACTTCTGTGACTCGGAATCCGTCTAGCGACCTGGTATTCGCAGGAGACTTGATGATCTGCCAGATCCATCGTCAGACACTGGAAGGGAGACACGTCATCCAAGTATACAGTACGCAGAACATCAGCAGGAAGCTTCCAGTCAAGCTTCTTCGGTCGGCCCCCCTCGAATCTACAAAGATCGACAGTGGACTGCCATACTAGATAGCAACGTTGACAATCGAAATAGCGCCTCTACAACTCAAGCCCGAGCTTGAGGGCCTCCCCAGCTCAATGTCAGGTACGGCTTTATGCCAAGGAGCATTTCGTCCCCCAATATCATCGCCAATACTATCGGTGAAGGTGTCTCCCTGACCAAGCGACGGAGGAGGCTGGATCCTGCCATGCGTTTATCGTGATTGATGGTCAGCATTGGAGTTGCCCATCGCTTTTTCCGACCCCCTCGATATTTGTACCTTACGACGGGTAGAGAATGGAATGCCACTTCCTGATTGCTCCGTCGCGGAAATTGATTTCCGTCAAGACTGCCATTTAAACCGCCGAAATGCTCACGCCAGGATCGTGCTTCATCTTGCCATCGATACTTACAAATCCAAGACCGTGTCATCCCGAGTCCAATACAGCCATGCTAAGCAATAAATTGGCGATCAGTAGCCTGTCGTTAGGCCAGCACCCTTCGCACTTGTTAGACCACAAGATTAGGGTCGCCGCTTCCCACGGCTTTGCGGGTATTGAGATCGTCTTCTCTGACATCGACATCTACGCACGAGCGAAGAGTCTTTCTCTGTCAGAGGCAGCAGCAGAGATTCAAGGGATATGCAAAGCACACCGGATCGAGATTCTGTCCCTAGCTCCATTTGAGAACTTCGAAGGGCATAACTCGCCTCTCGAGGAAAGGCTACAGACGGCCAGAAAGTGGATCGACATTGCGAGAATCTTAAACGCGACATATCTCCAGGTGCCCGCTCAGTACAGTAGTGACTGCACTGGGGTTGAGGCGGTGGTCGTCTCGGAGTTACAGCAGCTGGCAGATCTTGCCCGTGCACAACCGCCAATGGTCAGCATTGCTTACGAGCCGATGTCATGGTCCACACATTCCTCAACATGGCAAAGCGCACTGCACATCGTTCAATGTGTGGATCGACCAAATTTTGGACTTTGCCTAGACAGCTTCCACGAGCTCACGAAACTGTGGGCGAGTCCATTCGACGCATCGGGTAAGCTGCCCAACGCGGACGATGATCTACGAGCATCGCTACGCGATTTCCAAGATCATTGCCCTCTCGATAAGATCTGCTACGTGCAACTCTCAGACGGTGAACGTTTTAACCCCCCTTTTCAACATCCCATCCGTGGTATCTCGAGGGCGAGGCGCCACAGTTTACATGGTCACGACATGCTCGTCCATTTCCCCTGGAAACGGAGCTGGGTGGATATCTACCTGTACCAGAAGTCGTAAAGTCCTGGATTGCAGATAAAGGCTTTAATGGCTGGGTCTCGCTGGAAATCTTTGATTGGAGAATGAGGACGCCTGAATTCCGGCCAGAGACTGCTGCGCAGCGCGGTCGTCAATCCTGGCGAAGGCTGCAGGCGGCACTGACGCCCATTAGCAGTAATATGTAGCCGGAGGCCACCCTACTGTTGACCCATGTTGACTAGGCGAGATCCCCCAGGAGTGATTGAATCCTAGCCGGGTAGCGGGTGTTACGTAGTGATCTATGAATATGGGGATATCCAGTCTAAGAGAGAGAGAGATATATATATATATATATGTTTATGCCTATATAATCTAGACTATATCGAAATATACACATAGTGGAAGGTCTAGATTTTCATAATGTGCTACGTGATGCGCAAGAAAACCCTGCGCAGGTGTTCTAGGTTTGGGTTGGGTTTGACCTTAGAACCCCTTACCTCGAGCGGGTTCGGGCCGGGGCCGGGTCGGGTCGGGTCAACTCCACTCTGGGCAAATATATCTATTGCAGGAAAGATTCCAGCCTCTCTCCTGCCGAATCTTGACGATCCGATCCACCAAAATATAACATTCACCCTTGGACCTAATAAACGGATGCACTTTGTAGCCAAGTTTGGTTAGCCAACTCTGCTTGCGGAATAAATCACCAAATAGAGTAACGCTTAATCAAGTGAATTCCCCAATTCTGTGCTTGCGGCATTCATCCGAGTCATAAAACATCGGGTCGGGTTCTAACTTGGTTAGTATCCCTATGGGAAAGGACCCTGTCTTCGCTGCGTCCGCTTTCAAGATCAAGTCAATGTTAATATCATCTAAGATACTAATATATTTCCAGTGCTGTGGACAGTTATCTGCCTTCAAGCACTTTGTCTACCAAACCATAGGACTTGATTGGATGCGACTCATGCCCCTAGATTTAGTCATATCTTGTTGCGCGACCTTTTTTTGGAATTTTTCTGCATATGACCCAGAATCATCCCAGGCAATACCACCCCGTAGGTGAGGTCTATGATAAAGTTGATGTCAACGGGACGTTCTCCACATTCAGGGAGCCCACAAAGGAGTCACCTCACCGAAGTTTCCCCTTTCTCTTGATTGATCCCAATGTAGCAATATCTTGGCTGACAAAAGGATAAAGTCAGAATTCCATCCCGGCCGATGCCAGCCCTAATTTGGCGTTCGAGTGGTAGTAGTGGGGGGGAAAACAGCGAAATTTCGTGTGAAGAAGATTCTTGGCACTGCTTGAGCTTGACAAACTGTTATAGTACATAGTTTTTTTACATGTTTCTCTGATGAATTGATCCATGTTCGATCCATCCTTCGCCGCTTCGGTCATTCAGCTTGGTATGTGTGTGGCCCAGTATTGGGTCATGGACCATCTGAGTCCATGCACCTAGCCAATGTGGCTTTCCCCTCCCTTCGATAGTATTACACCACTTTGACTGTTTTCTATCGGTGGCAGAAATTAATGTGACTGTCAACCAATATATTAGTACTAATTTTGTTTTTTTTCAAAAAAATATAAATAAATAAATAAATACACACAATACTGCGTATATATAGCATTACTTGGAGCTGGATGTATCAAAGGGGGTAGTATATGCAAGGTAGGAGTGGAAAATGCTAGGGGAGCATGGTATGTACATTTTAAGCCCAATGTATAACCTCGAGCCAAGACGCTCAACATCGTTATAGAAGATAAATATCGCTCATATTTTTATTTTAACCTGTGTATCTTTCCGGGAATGACCGACATAGCAATTTCCTACATACTTGTCTCAATCAACTTGATTGACTCTACTGCATATTTTTCCTTGCAATACATACCCATGAAATCATATCAAGGGTTCCATTTTCCCTTTGTGTTGGAGTCATCTGCTCTCGCAGAATACTTTGCCATTTCAATGTTGCCTCAGAAGTGCCATCATGCAGCGGATTCCAGGATGGCCGAGAAAGCGCTTCCGCAATTCCATCCCCATTTCCCCTGTCGAACTTTGTCTCCTCTACTACCACTTGAATATTGTGGGTCGCAAAGCCTCCGTCTTTCACTGTTGAGACCAACTTCTCTTTCGTACCCCATGCGCCATCCGTTGGTTGGGTGAAGCAAGAGCAGGAAGCTGCAGCTGTTGCCTGCGCAAGTAGCCGCGGAACGGCGGCTTCCTTCCAGGTTGTGAAGACAGCATGGCCTCCTGGCTTCAGGACCCGAAACACTTCCCTCGTACATCGAGCAGGATCAGGGACATACATAAGTCCGAAGCTCATAAATACCAAGTCGAATTGGGCATCAGTGAATTCTCCTAGATCCTGTGCGTCTTGGACCTGGGCAGATACTGTTGTCCATGCGTTTGTTTCTGCCCGTTCTTTATAGAGCTGCACCATCTCCGGGGCGATATCCAAACCGATGATAGTTGGGAGTTGCTGGTCACCTTGTGCTGCGGCATTCTCCATAAGGACGCTAGTGACTTCGCCGCTGCCACAGGCTAGGTCAAGTACGTGGCTGCTAGGAGCGAGCTGAGGAGTGTGCTTTAGTGCCGCCGAGGCGATGTTGCGGCTGACTTGGTGGGCAATTGCGGCATAATCAGCTGCTTTGGTCCCAAAGTCAACTCTAGGCATCATGTAAAGTTGACGTTGTTGGTCTGGCAGAGTCTGGCGATGGAAGCGGCGACCGACTTCTTAGACGTTCGGTGATGTTTGACAGACAATACGAAAGGACTGCCGCTGTAGCATCCTTTTTGTTTGTTCACACTACAGTTAGTGATCGGCTGAGAAAAGTCCCTTGTTTGTGGGACTAACGAAGAGGTCTCGGCCAATTTCCCAGAAATGGTTATAATAACCGCCAAGAGCAAACGAAGCTTTGACCTTCAACTATGAGACGAATACTATCTAACCGACTGCCTCCGCGAAATGGGCCCGACATTGAACGTGACCTTTATTGACACCGCTACCGCCATTCTCCAAATCAGCGGGGTTAACATACTGACTGACCCGTTCTTCTCTCCTGCGGCTTTATCGGGTAAAATATGTACTAAGGCTGCCGTCAGGGTAGATGCGGTTGTATCTGCCCCAGCGATCAAGATAGCCATAGCTTCAGCCACTTTCTCTATATATAACACCGAAGCAAGACGCTCAAAGGCAAATCGAAAAGAAATAGTATTGCTATATATATATATATATATATTTTAAAATAGTCTATACGACTCTCTGCGAACTAATGTTCTGTGGATAACGAAACAGTATAAGTAATTCAGATTCAAATTCAACGCGATCTATAGAAGAAACCGGTCTGCCTCACCTAAATAATATCACAAAAGAGCTATATGCAAATATAAACACATTAGAAAATCTCGATTATTCTAATGTGTTACGTGAGATGCAAGAAATCCCCGCGCATGTTTTCTGGGTTTGGGTTGCTCTCTTCCCTTCGAATATCCCTTACCTCGAGCGGGCTCAGCTCTAGGTATATGCAGGAATACCTAATGTCGGCGAATAAGCAGCCGGAAAATCGGGATGTAGTGTACATTCCACAGGTACTAGGGTATAAGGCTTGTCAAGTTCGGCGGTAATTCGGGTTCTTCTTGGAATCATGCAGATGGATGACTGAAGCCAGGTCCACTGAGGACGAGTAAGGAGGGTTCACCGAGGGCATGAATATGAACAGTCAAAAAAAGTGATAGAAACGAGAACACATGGCTGTTGCAAGTTCCCGAATGTATTCTTAACAATGTGCTTAGAGTTCCCTTCACACCTACCTATAGGTGAAGTAGAGGTACATGATTGTAGAGTTCAACGCGGCACAGCAGGCAATATAAAGAGAGTTGTAGCCCCCGTCCAAACAGAACCAGTCTTTCATAACTAGTTGAATATAACCCAGAGTACTGTTTAAAAGCATACATTCAAGTGCGCGTCTGGTTATATTTATTCTAGGGGTTAAGCTCCCCTCCTTGTCCCGGTGATTATCCATCTAAGGTGTATGCGGTATGAACGAACCGATTGTGTGTGCACTTTGAGGATTGTTGTTAGTACCACAAGCCGAACACCAGATAAAACAAACTACCTCTGCTAACAATCTTGTGTTCAAGATATGAGACTTCTGTACGTGGGTATTTGAGGTGCGGGCGAAAGCCCTTTTTAGTGGTGATATGGTATGAACAATAATTAGAGTAATAGCTACTTGAGCTGGATGGACTGACTGAGGATGAAACCAGTCTCCAATATAAGTGCGTATTTTCTGTTCGTAACCTCCAACGACGTGTGCGTTTCTTATTCGCTGTTGTATACAGGGATGGATGATTGATCATAGAGTCCCCGAAGCCTGATCAGGGTTCTATCACATGAACCCTCCCCTTCTTCCCAAGGACGCCAGGACGCCAGAGCTGCGTGGAAACAGCCCTCCTGTAGAAAGCCTGCATCTATAGAGGAATGATCGGTGGACCATGCTTGCGCCCGACACGGCCACTCCCGGCCGATCCATATGGGATGATGTCGGCCAGAGGAGGTTCATGGATCACGTGGCCCGGCTCTATCGTACCAACAACGTGTTGGGCCCCAAGGAACTGTTAGAAAAGGACTGGCCCCCGTCGTCCGCTACTGATGTTCTCCCTTTTGGCATCGAAAAACAGATCTGTGATGACTTCGCATTTATTTCAGCCTGTGAGTATGGCGTTGCATACGTCACAGCTGCTACAGTTGAGCTGGACCAAGCTGCATCGAAGAGCCTCACGGTCCGGCTCGCCGCAAATGAAGGGCTCCAGGGTCACGTCAAATGCGCAATCGGCCGAGTACTACAAAGTTTGGAGAGGTGTGCAAGAAAAAGTAAGAATATATCTTCTCAGTTTCGATTTCTTAGTACACTTCTGACCCACTGCCACTGTATTAATTTGCATTTCTCTTCCAGCTCTATCCCGTGATTCTTGTGCGGATGAGATCTTCGATACTGTCGTTAAACTTCACAGAAACAGAATACTTGGGCGTTCAGGAAGTCGTTACTTTCATCGACCAGCTCATGAACGTGGGTCCCGCCGGCCGCCGCTTACTGTGCGTCTAAAGGATCACATCGCATGGCTAAAATGTTCGTCAAGGTCGCCTGAAAGAGTGGAAAGACTTCAGACCATTTCGCTTCAAATTGAGACTGTACACATGGATTTCCTGCGATTAGAAGACTCAACTTCGGAGTCTATTGAGGATGCCTTGAAGTCTGTTATAAAGGGGTTTTTCGCATTGACAGTGGATGGATATTCCCTGGTGGACCGGTTGGAAGCAGTGGGATTTCCGGCTTCAAAGCTTGACGGAAGGGATATTCGGGAGGTCAATAAAATTGCGAACTACTGGCGTATTTGCTCCAGCCTTTCACGTCTGGCTTGCAGCAAATATCGCAAAGCTTTTACAAAGCTTCAACTGAAAACCTTGGAGCCGTACGCACCTTCCATCAATTACGGAATGCAAAAGTTTGTGCATGCGGAAGTTCAGATGGTTGTATACTATGAGAGTTCTTCACCCCCTCCCTGGCCCCGGTATATTGGGGTTTCCAAGGAAGCATGCTTTTTGTGCCATTCATTTATCCAAGCTCACGGTGCTTTTTTCATATCCAAAGCACATCGCCAATTATTCCCTCAATGGACGGTACCCGATTCCTCCGACTACAGCACTGACACACTAAGCTCTTTCCGCAAGGTCCTGGTGGTGGTGGATCAATGCATCCTGGACACTCTCAGTGAAGCATCTCAGAATAATATAGCCCGAAAATTCCCTCTACAAAGTTCTATTAACCTCCATAGAGTTCCTTTGCCATCGCCTTCCATGACTACGCCATCGTCGTCGGCGATAAACTCTATAAAGGAGACTCCGTTGCCCATATGCCCCTCGATTCCAGAAATGGGCAGTATGAGAGGACCGCTGGGGGAACTCGGTTTTCCAAATAGTCGGATTGACCTGGTAGAAGATTCACATGCATACCGCTCAAAAACTCCCGCTCTTCACTCGGCAACCATGTTGGGCCAGAAAGGTAACGACTGCGAATCAGAGCCGTCGCCTTCCGTCCTCACTAATGATGACTTGAGTGGTTCGGAGCGACTCACAAAGTTCGTTTCAACCACCAAAGCTACGTATGAATGGCTTCAACTGGAGATATACCTGGAGCCTGCCGCTCTAGAATTAGATCAAGAGTCTAAGTCTAAGAAGGCGTCTTTCTCCAGAGCAGGTATTGACCTCCACTTGGCTCGAGAGCTTGAACATGCCAATGGAACACCGTCTGTAGCGGGGCCTACCAGAGTTTGTGATCTGGCTCCAGGAGAGCAAAAGACGGTTCGGCTATCTGATGAGGAGTATCGTCGCTCTGGAGGACCAGAGATAGCTTTTATTCTTCAAACCCGAGACCGAGAAGCAGTATATGTAAAGTGCAAATGGTATATAGGTGAATAATCAGCTGGGATAATACTCATGCGTACTTGACGAGGCATATATCCAAGGCTTGGCCTTAGCACCCCTTAACAGCGAGCAGGTTCGGGCCGGGCCGGGCCGGGTCGGGTCCACCCCACGCTACCGTGGCGTCCATTCCGCAGGTCCTCGTAGTACTAGTACCAGTAGGGTGGAAGCGTGGGGGAGCTGTCAGTTGACGTGCACACTTCAATTCAGCCCCTTCGACTTGGGTACCAGCTGAAACCTCACAGGCAAAAACAGAGCGGGACAAAATGTCCACCAGAGAAATCGCCAAAAAGGCGGTGGAAGCAATTGCTGCGAAGCTTGGATACGTTGATTCGTCGGTCTTGAACCGCATTGGGAACGTGCTTCCTGAGGAGCGACGCATAATTGAACAGAGTCTGCGTGCGAAGGACGAGAACATAGGCCATTCAATCAAGACGTCTGTCACTGGCTCAACAGAATCGCTTGCCACCCCAGGCATTGTGTGCTAACCGGAGCGACGTAGACTTGCACGAAACCTCTATAGCAGTAATGCTCGGTTTGTCTTCGAGCTTCTGCAAAATGCCGACGATAATCGCTTTATGCTCGCGCGGGAACGCAACGAATTGCCCTTCATCTCCTTTAGGGTCTATCCCGATCGGATCATTGTAGAGTGCAATGAGGACGGATTCAGGACAGAAGATCTGTCGGCTATCTGCTCTGTTGGGGAGAGCAGCAAAGCCGCATCGCATGGCTATATTGGGGCCAAGGGCATCGGGTTCAAGTCCGTTTTCATCGTGGCGTGGAAGGTTCATATCCAATCCGGCAATTTTTCCTTCCATTTTAAGCATAGATCAGGCGATCTGGGTCTTGGAATGGTCCTACCAGTGTGGGAGGACCCTGGCGACGAATGCCCTGATCGCTTAACCCGAATAACTCTTTATCTTCACACAGAAGGAGAGCCGCACGCGCTCGAGCACCTCCGCCATACCATCTTCCAGCAACTCGGCGATCTCCAGCAAACTTCTTTACTTTTTTTGAGGAACCTCAAACAGATAGGAATTTTCTTCTACGATGGCAATGGTGAAATGCAGCGATCGAAGACTTTTCGTATTCATCATGATCTGCTGGGCCACAATGTCTTCTTCGAGGCCTCTGTCGTGGATGGAGATGGGAATTCTACCACGGTTGAGCAACGCTACCATGTCACCAGGCAC